GATATCATTCCCATTTTTAAGATGGGGAACCCAAGCCAAGAGAGATTCAGTTTTCTAAAGTGACATGCCTGGATTCAAATCCAGGTGATTCGGTTCTAGAGTCCATGCTCTTAACCTCCACTTTTTTCTGTGTCTCCACAATATGGTGGAATTGAGCCCATGTTAACATGTAGGTAGACTGCCCAAGACCCACTTACTCGTCCTCTCATTGTGGTGTCTGTGATAGAATTGTACTGAGATCCTTCTGAGAGAAGAAGTGTGTCTCATATATGTATCGCCTGCCTTTAGGGCTGTGATGAGGATTGTTGCACTAATGCATACAAAGTGCTTGACATGTGGGCACCTGACCTAGACTTCTGACCCATGTTTAGCAAGAGCAATGCAACTGGGGGACTTGATGAACTGGCTTCCCAAGAATCAATAGGCTAGAGTACCTGCTGGAAATGTTGTGTACAAAATGTTGTTTCAGTGCCCCAAATGTAAAATTCTGCACTGTATGTGTTTCCTGTTTCCCTTTCTGCTTTCAAATGCCAACATAAAGATAATTTGTTATTTCCCTACTTGGGGAGTGGAGTCCTTTCTTTTTAGAGAACAGGCCCCAGAAACACCGCTCAGGACTTGAGGAACAAAAATGAGAAACAAAAATATTTTTTTGCTATGAAAATGGTTCTATATGAAGACCTACCAGCAGTTGAAACTTAACGTTAAGTTGTCTTCACCTCATGGTGGTAAGCGGTGGTGAGACAACCACATATGGGACTGCAGGCTGGGTTTGGGGTTGAAGTTTGCTATGGGCTAGAATTATGTTTTGCTGAAAGATGGAATGATTCCATTAATTCTAGGCTTTGACTAACTGATTACAAGCGCAGATAAGGAAACTATCACTGTCAATACCCTTCCCAAAGCCTGAAGAATCTCTGTTATCAGAAGACCTGCCTGCTCCCTGAATCCTTTTATTTCTTTTCTCTTTGGAGTTCTGGTGTCTGTTAACACCAACCAGCCTGGTCATTGTGACCAATTTAGGACAAATTCTGTATAGCCTCTAGATTTGCTAAACGTTTTCCCCTGTTGAAATCTCTATTTTATTGTAGGATCATGGATTAATATTTTGTTGCCAGCTCCCTGAGATAAAATGGGAGGTCAGTTCTCAACCAAAGAAGCCTGGATCACTCATCACACCTTTCCCTATTATTTATCGTGTGCTCCTCTGCTGGTACTCCTTTCTTCCAACCTGTTTACTGTACTCAACACGTACAAGCTGTTGAAGTATAGAAAGAAACTAGACTCTGGTGGAGATAAATTTTTGGGTAAAGACTGTCTACAGTTGAGGTAATTATAAGTACAAATTTGTTTGTTAGTTAAGTACCAGTTTAAAGCACCAAACTGTTGCTTTTGGTGCTTTTGATGATCATTTTGAACCAGTTTTTACCCTACTAGGCCAATAAAAACCATTTTATAGGTGACTTGAACTAGTTACAAGCAGTCTGATAAAATTAGAGCGAGTATGACCCAGTTGGAGATAGATTTCATTGGTCAGCACTAGCTTGATTCAGTAAAATATGCTGTGAACCAATCAAACCTTATGTGAACTAGTCAGAACCTGCTCATCCAGGTCAGAACTTATTTGAGCTAGCTAAAACTAGTCTGAAGCAATTGGAGCTGTTAAAATCAGACCCAAATAATGGTCTGATTTTGGTTAGGCACATCTGGTTTTGCCAAAGTCGTTTTAGATTAGTCAGAAGTGGTTTTGTAGGTAGAACGTCTCTGAACTCAGCTGTTTTACTCCAAACTAGTGTGAACCATTCAGATCCTTTTGAACACGTATGAGCCTCTTAAAATGGATTGGAGTGTTTTATACACATTTGAACCTGTTTGTTTCCTTTTTTTTAAAATCCCATTAGCCCTGAGCTAACAGCTGCCATCAATCCTCCTCTTTTTGCTGAGGAAGATTGGCCCTGAGCTAACATCTGTGCCCATGTTCCTCTGCTTTATATGTGGGACGCCTGCTACAGCATGACTTGATAAGTGGTGTGTAAGTCTGTGCCCAGGATCTGATCTGGTGAACACCAGGCTGCCGAAGCAGAGCACGTGAACCCAACTGCCATGCCGCTGGGCTGGCCCCTACACATTTGCACCTGTTTTTAAGCTGGCCATAACTCTTTTGAAATTGACATATCTATTTAAAATGAATTGAAAATAGTTTGAACCAGCCAGCAAAATCAGAATTCATTTGAAAATTATCTTTGTTGACTGGGCAAACTACTTTGAGCCAGTCAGCAATCTTTTTGGCAGAAATATGGTTTGAGCTCCCCACAGGCAATTTCAGAAATTGTTCTAGGTCTTCAGAGCCAGTCAGATAGGTCCAGAATGGGGAAAAGGGAGTGATCTAACATTTATTGAGTACTCAGTGTGCCAAGCATTGTGCTGGGCACTCCACAAAGAGTATCTTATTCACTCCTTAGAATAATGGTAAAAAGGTAGTGTGCATTATCTTTTTTTTCATAGAATAGGAACCTGAAAATCCAAGGCTCGAAGACATCTGAGTAGCTGATATATGGGAGACATGGGATTCAACACAGCTCTGCTTGACTTCAGAGGTCATGTGTTTCCTGTTAGGCTACCTTGTATGATATCATACCTGGTCCTTTTAAGCCCAACATGTATTTGTAAAAATATGAGTAACTGACATTAAGCTTGGTGTATAATGGACGTTGGACTTGAAGTTAGGAGACCTATGTTCCAGACTGTACAAATGAGTTAACCTCTCTGGGTTCTTTTTCATCCGTTGGAAAACTGAACCCAGAGAATGAAAGGTCTGAGCGTTTATTTTCAGATCGGCAAGGCAGATAATTGTCTAAAGGTGCAGTCTGAAGAGTGCAGACTATGATTAATATTGATAGTGGTATCTGTACCTTCAGTTGTGGTATTTGGTTTGTTAACACTTCCTTTATGATGGCTTAGTTTGGGAACAAACTGTTAAGTATTGCTATCAACATGAATAGAAAACAAAACCCATGAAGATCATTAGATCACACACTTACGTGTGTGATTCTTCTCACATGATAACTAAACGCAATAAATATTGTGCAGCGGAGATAGTGTCATCTGTCTTTGATTTCCACTCAAGTGGGTTTAGAAAGTTCTAGAATAATGATGATTTTGGTGACAGCATTTTCTCCTGTACCTTAAATGATATAAAAACAGTTAGAGAAATGACCAACTTTTTTCAAATTAAAAGTAAAGAGGAAGTAAGATAGCCGCAGTGTCTGCTTGCATCATTCTCGTTGCAGAATTTGGAGTTGCTTTCTGGTTCCTTATTCATTTTGAGGGAGAACTCCCAAAATGATTGAATGTTATCTGGATGTGCTTTTCAATTCTTAGCTCTTATTTCTGAACAACTTGGAGTCAAGTGGGATGCTGTGATATGACATGCTAGAATATTTATTTGTACCCAGTGGTCATTTTTTAGAGAGGAATTCTGCTATACACCATTAATTCTGGCAACCTGCAGCTGTGAATACAGAAGCTGTAACATAGGGAAGCCGTCATCTGTAAAGTGTTGCTCTTTATAGTGTGCAAATAGAATTATGAATGTTTGTAGAGGCTCTGCCCTTTTCAACTGACCAGCCATATCTAAATATGAGGTCGCAGATCTACACTAAGGCACTCTGAGGAAGTACATGGCAGCAGTTCTTGGCGCTCAGCATTCAGGATTTTTGAGCATAAGGTGAGTCACCAAATTAAGTATGGGGTGGGGGAAGCAACCTTGAAAATCAGTAAATGTCATTGCCTGAGCTTTTATTAATTTTATGGATCTATAGAAATAATCCTATAGGAAGGATTGAGTATTGTGGCAAAGTTTCTGGATATAGGGCTGGGTGAAAAGAGGCCAATGAGAGGAAAATTAGTAGTGTCTAATGTAGGGCATCTGATGTGTGCGTGGATGGGTGAATATGTATGTTTGAATGGGCAGGTAGAGTTGTCAGTGGTAATGGGATAGCTGATTATTTTTCTGCTTTTCAGGAGGGTTTATTGTTATTAGAAATGGGAGGATAAAAAGAAGTAAGCCTTCCCTGGAGACAGACCACATGTTCAGTCGGACTGATATTTTGAATAGTTTGAATCTATTTAGAGGATAAAAACAAATCATGAAAGTGCTGTTTGCAAAAATAGAAAATAACTATGATTAGGGCTTGCTGATAAAAAGAGTTTTTCTTCTCTAAGATGGACTTTTGTTTTAATCAATATTGAAGAGCTGAATTGGTAGCATTTCTTATTAGAATAGCAAGGCAAGTATAAATGAGCCCTTCATTGTGGAACTATGGTCTCTGAGCAGTGACTGTTCAAATCTGGAACTCAGTTCTCCAGTGAGCAGTGATATTCCAGAAAAGCCTGATTTAATACGTGGTACCTAATAATATGTAAGGAAGCTGCAAGCCAAATTTTACTTGTGAATTTAGCATTGACTTTGAAGGAACTATAATGACATGTGAAAATGAACAGGATAATTGAAATTGCCTAGGTGTCCAAGTAAAACGAGAGAAAAGCCAAGGAGGTGGCACTAGGACACTTTGAAAAAAATAGAGGAATTGGAACCACTTGCACGCTAAGAATTATTATTATTCCTATAACATTCTCCTTCCTCCTTTCTTTCTTTTGTTAAGTTTTGTTCTATGTAATCTGCATATAAGACTTAGTGACTGTTATCTTCTTGATTATCATTCTCACTTGGAATTTTTGTCTATTATAACAGTACTATAATATGCATGTTAAATTTAAACTGTTCTTTACTATTTCAGTAGCATCTCATCTAGCAAATTATTAGGTCCTTGGGGACAGGGACTAATATCTAACCTTTTCTTCACAGAACCCTTAGGCATACAGGTGTTATATAGAAGTACTTGTTGAACTGAATATTAAACTAAGTCACTTCATTCATGGAGGATTCTAATATTTTCTAGTGGATTTTTAGTGAATATGCATTTGTTTGTATTTCGCAGGTGAACCACTGAGTTCTTCATTATGTCTGATGGAGACTATGATTACCTCATCAAGTTTTTAGCTTTGGGAGACTCTGGAGTGGGGAAGACCAGTGTACTTTACCAGTACACAGATGGTAAATTTAACTCCAAATTTATCACAACAGTGGGCATTGATTTCAGGGAAAAGAGAGTGGTAAGTTCCACATCCTTCTATATAAAAATGTAATCTTTGAGTCAACATTTGCCTATCTGTTTAGTTTGCTTTGTAGGAATTAGGAGGACAAAGGTTGGAATCTAAAATTAAAGGGTCCATGTGAAAGTGTGTACTGTTCAATCTGGGCAATGGGAAGGGGTGATAAAATGTGCTGAAGGACACTTCATATAAAACCAAGGAGACAGAGTAAAAAGTGAAGATTCTTTTAAATTTTCCCTTGGTACCCTTTTGGCTTGGAATTTCCCTTCTGAACTCTACAAAGTTATTTGTCTACCTTTGTTGTGAAGCCTACAAACCACCCTGCCCCTCACACACCTGTTTTGTGGGCTATATCTTCCAGCTCTGATAAAGTTTTTAATTGTTTTTCTCTTAACTAAGGCTTAGCAAGCCTATACGGAACACTGAGTGGCAGAGCTCATCACTGCTGCCAGGAGGGTGAGGCTGGAGTAGGAGTGGGAATGCTGGCACTGCATGTTGATCCTGGAAGTAACCAAGGGAAAAAGGAAGTTCTGCAGAAGGATGAGGGAAGAGACTCTTTTTTAAAAAAAAAGGACCTCAAGACTGAAACATACTCTAGTGGTGGAGGGGAAGGCAGGAACATATTATGTCGTTGCGGCAGAGGAGAGAAGATGGCCTTCTTCATGAACTGCATTTCTTGCTGAAAAATCGACTGTTACCATGACGCAGGTCAACAAGTGGTCAGGAGGTTAATAACAAAGACCCTTCAATGGAGCATATTCTACCTGGGAAAGATACGGGGTCTCTGGCTTCCAGGATAGGAGAATTCATTCCCTCCTACCCACGCGAGGTCTTTTCTTCCCCTCCCAGAGACCCACTGACTAAGAATAGGATCTTCATGAAATTTTTAGTATTGACATATAATTGGTAGAATCAGTATATATATGTATGTGATTATTTGTTAATTCCTATTCTCTAACCTTGTTTTTTTTCCCCAGAAATAGCTTTGAGATATAATTCACATAACATAAAATTCACCTATTTAAAGTGTACAATTCAGTGACTTTTAGTATGTTCACAGTTGTGCAACCAGTGTTACTAACTTTAGAATGTTTTAGCACCCCAAAAAGAAACTATGTACCCATTAGCAGTCATTCCCCATTTCTTCTCTCCCTAGCTACTAGCAGTTGCTGATCTACTCTGTATGGATTTGCCTATTCTGGACATATCATATAAATGGAATCATACAATATGTGGCTTTTTGTGCCAGGCTTCTTTCACTTAGCACAACGTTTTCAAGGTTCATCTGTGTTGCAGCATGTATCAGAACTTCATTCCTTTTTATGACCAAATAATATTCTATTGTACTGATATACCACATTTTGTCATCCATTGATGGACATTTGGGTTGTTTCACTTTTTAGCTATTATGAATAGTGCTTCTACTTTTTAGCTATCATGAATAGTGCTTCTATTAACATTCATATACATTTTTTGTGTGTGAACATATTTTTCAGTTCTCTCGGGCATATGCCTGGAAATAGAATGGATTGGCCCATATGACAACTCTCTATTTAACTTAGAGCAGCTTCCAAATTTTTCCAAAGGTGGTGTACCATTTTATATTCTCACCAGCAATGTATGAGGGTTCCAGTTTCTCTATAGCCTCACCAGTTCTTGTTATTGTTTATTTGATTATAGCCATTCTATTGGGTATGAAGTGGTACCTCATTGTAGGTTTGACTTGAATTTCTCTAATGATGAATGTTGTTGAGTAATCATCTTTTCATATGCTGATTGGCCATTTGTATATCTTCTTTGGAGAAATGTCTAGTAAGATCCTTTGCCTGTTTCTAAGTTGGTTATTTGTCTCTCTGTTAGATTTTCAGAGTTCTTTATATGTTCTGCATAAATATTCTTATTAGATATATGATATACAGTTTTAGCTCTTCCATTTAGATTTATGATCCATATTTGAGTTAATTTTTGTGTATGGTGTGAATTGGGGTCCAACTACATCCTTTTGCGTGTGGGTATCTAGTTGTCCCGGCACCATTTGTTGAAAAGACTCTTATTTTTCCCTAAATGATCTTGGCACCCTTGTTGCAAATCTGATGACCATTAATGTAAGGGTTTATTTTTGGACTCTCAATTCTATTCCACTAATCTATATGTCTATCTTTATGCCAGTACTATACATCTTGATTATTGTAGCTTTGTAGTAAGTTTTGAAATTGGGAAGTATGAGTCCTCCCACTTTGTCCATCTTTTTCAAGATTGTTTTGGATTTCTTGTAATTTCATATGAATTTTAGGGCCAGCTTGTCAGTTTCTACCAAGAAGCTAGCTGAGATTCTGACAGGGATTGCATTGAATCTATGGCTCAATTTGGAGAAGTATTGGTATCTTAACAATCTTCTGATCCATAAACATGGATGTTTTTCCATTTATTTAGATCTGTAATTTTTTTCACCAATGTTCTATAGCTTTCAGAGTATTAGTTTTACCTTATTTGCTAAATTTATTCTTAAATATCTTAATCTTTTTTATGCTATTGTAAATTTTTTTTTTTCTTAAAGATTGGCACCTGAGCTAACAACTGTTGCCAATCTTCTTTTTTTTTTTCTGCTTTTTTCTCCCCAAATCCCCCCAGTACATAGTTATATATTTTAGTTGTGGGTCCTTCTAGTTGTGGCATGTGGGATGCCACCTCAACGTGGCCTCATGAGCAGTGCCATGTCTGCGCCCAGGATCCAAACCAGTGAAACCCCGGGCCACCCAGGTGGAGTGGGCGAACTTAACTACTTGGCCATGGGACCAGCCCCTGTAAATTGTTTTCTTAATTTCATTTTGGAATTGTTCATTGCCAGTATATAGAAATATGATTTATTTGGAAATTGATCTTATATACTGGAACCTTGCTGAACTTATCAGTTCTAATCGTGAGTGTGTGTGTCTGTTTATTCCTTAGGATTTTCTAAATACAAGAGCATGTCATCTTCTGTTTTACTTCTTCCTTTCCAATTTGGATATGTTTTATTTCTTTTTCTGTCCTAATTGTCCTGGTGAGAACCTCTAGTAAAATATTGAATAGGAATGATGAGAGAGAACATCCTGTCTTGTTTTTGATCTTAGGGAGAAAGCAGTCAGATGTTCAGCATTAAGTGTACTATAAGCTGTGGGTTTTCATAGATGCTGTTTATCAGGTTGAGGATGTTCTCTTCCATTTCTAATTTGTTGAGTGTTTTTATCATGAAAGATGTTGGATTTTTTTCAATGCTTTTTCTGCATCTATTGAGGAACTTACGTGATTTTAGTTTTTTATTACCATGATGTATTATATTGATTGATTTTTGTATGTTAAATCAACCTTGCTGTTCCTGTGATCAGTTTCACTTGGTCAGGGTGTATAATCCTTTTTGTATGTTGCTGGATTCTGTTTGCTGGTATTTTGGTGTCTATATTCAGAATGGATATTGGTCTGTAGATTTTTTTTTTTCCTCATGATATCTTTGGTTTTGAGATCAGGGTAGTATTGACCTCATAAAATGAATTGGAAAGTGTATCTGTCTTTCTAGATTTTGGAAGAGTTTGGGAAGGATCAGTGTTAATTCTTCTCTAAACATTTGGTTGAATTCTCCAGTGAAGACATTTGGGCCTGGCCTTTTCTTTGCAGGAAGTTTTTTTTTTTAGTACAAATTCAGTTTCCTTGTTGGTTATGTGTCTATTTAAATTTTCTGTCTCTTCTTGAGTTAGTTTCAGTTGTTTGTGTCTAGGAATTTCTCTATTTGTTTTAGATTATCTAATTTTTGGCATACAATTTTTCTAGTATTCCTTTATAATCTTTTTATTTCTGTAAGATTGGTAGTGTTGTCCTTTCTTTCACTTCTGATTTTATGAATTTGAGTTTTCTGTTTTTATCCTTGGTCAGTCTAGCTAAAGGTTTATCAATTTTGTTGATCTTTTCCAAGAAAAGATCATTTATTTCCACTCTAATATTTATTATGTCTTTCCTTTTGCTTCCTTTGGGTTTAGCTTACTCTTATTTTTCTAATTTCTTAAGGTTGAAGGTTAAGTTATTGATATGATATCTTTCTTCTTTTTTAATATAGCTGTATACTGCTGTAAATTTCCCTCTGAGCACTGTTTTAGCTTCATTTGATAATTTTTTGTATATTGTGCTTTTGTTTTCATTCACCTAAAAGTATTTTCTAGTTTCCCTTGTGTTTCTTCTTTGACCCATTGGTTATTAAGACTGTGTTCTTTAATTTCCACGTATTTGTGAATTTTCCAAAATTCTGTTAATGATTTCTAATTTTACTCCATTGTGGTTGGAGAACATACTTTGTATGATTTCAGTCTTTCAAATTTATTGAGGCTTATTTTATGACCTAACATATGATCTGTCCTTGAGAATGTTTCTTGTTTACCTGAGAAGATTGTGTATCCTGCCATTGTTGAATGATGTGTTCTATAGATGTCTGTTATGTTTAGTTGGTTTACAGTGTTGTACAAAGTCCTATATCAAAGGATACTCTCCTATATAACTATACTACAACTATCAAAATCAAGAAATTATCATTGATACAAATTATCTAAATTACAGCAATTATTTAAATTTCACCAACTGCCTTGCTAATGTCTTTGATAGAATAAGATATATATAGTTTCAGAATTGCTATCCCATACCTCCAAGACTTTCTTTTTGATCAATAAAATGAGGTGGAAGTGACATTGCATAACTTCTGAGACTAGAACATAAGAAGCTTTTCAGTCTCCACTTGGCTTTCTTGGAATGCTCCCTCTTAGGATACTCTCTTGAAACCCAGATGTCATGCCATGAGAAACCCCAGCCACCAGTAGAGAGACCAAGTAGAGGCAGCACTCTGGTTGACAGCCCCAGTTGAACTCCCAGCTGACAGACACCATCCGCTGAGCCATCCTGGATGTTCCAGCTCAATCAACCCTCCAGATGACTGCTGCCATCCCAGCACCACAGGCACAACAGGAGAACCACCTAGTCAACTCATAGAATCATGAGAGTTAACAGGAACTCTATGTATGTACACTAACCCGCAATACACACATCTCTATTTCTGTATCCATCTATATAGGCATATTAAAAACCATGAGTTACACTGATACTTCTGATTTCAATTCTACACCTCAAGGTTCATTTTAGGTTTCCCCTCTCCTTATTTGTAATTTCTTTCTCCACCAGTAAAAAAACCAGCTCTGATTGTCTAAAATATATTCACTTATCTTTTCAATTCTAGTATATACATAAAGTATACTTCCTGTCCAAGACGCAAGTTTAAGTCTCTCTCTGTTTGGTGTAACTGACAATGTGTGATAGGGCATGAGAGCTCTCCCTACAGGCTTTCCCAACTCTGATTTAGTTAAGGTTTCTTTTATTAATTTCCATACTTCTCTCAACTTGTTTTTTACTATTTTGTTTTATACTACAAAGGCCAATCTCTGCCTTTCCTTTGAAGTTTTTAACCCATTTACATTTACTGTAGTTACTGATAAGATAGGATTTATGTCTGCTATTTTACTACTTGCTTTCTATATATCTTATGTCCTTTTTTGTTCCTCTATTTCCCCATGACTGCTTTATTTTTTATTATATAGATATTTTCTAGTATACCATTTTAATTCCCTTGTCATTTTTTTACTATATATTTTTGAGTCATTTTTTTTTTTTTAAAGATATTATTTTTTTCCTTTTTCTCCCCAAAGCCCCCGGTACATAGTTGTATATTCTTAGTTGTGGGACCTTCTAATTGTGGCATGTGGGATCCCGCCTCAGCATGGCTCAATGAACAGTGCCATGTCCGTGCCCAGGATTCGAACCGATGAAACACTGGGCTGCCTGCAGCGGAGCGCACAAACTTAACCACTTGGCCATGGGGCCGGCCCCCTTGTGTCATTTTCTTAACAGTTCCCTTGGGGGTTACAATTCTTATCTTAATTTTTAACAATCTAGTTTCAATTAATACCAACTTAATTTCAATACTGTATAAAACTTTGCTCTTATGTGGTTCCATTTCCTTCTCCTCCCACCCTTTGTGCTACTATTGTCGTACAAATTACATCTTTATGCATATATATTCAATACAGATTTATAATTATTACTTATGAAATTGTATTTTAATCAATGGAAGAAAAGAGTTACAAAAATATGTTTATATTGTCTTTTATATTTACCCATGTAGTTACTTTTACTGTTGCTCTTTATTTTTTTGTGTGGATTTGAATTACTGCCTGGTGTCCTTTCATGTCAGCCTGAAGCACTATCTTTTCACTTCCTGCTTTTAAGATTCTGTTTGTCTTTGGATTTGACAGTTTGATGATGATATAACTAGTGAATCTTTATGAGTTTATCCTTCATGGAGATCACTGAGTTTCTTGAATGTGCAGATGAATGTTTTTCATCAAATTTGGGAGGTTTTGGATATCATTTCTTCAAATATTTTTTCTGCATCTTTCTAGCTCTCCTCTTTTTATAGGATTTCCAGTATGCATATGTTGGTATGTTTGATGGTGTTCCATAGGTCTCTGAGATTCTCTTCACTTTTCTTCATTCTTTTTTTCTTTCTGTTCCTTAGACTAGATAATCTCAATTGAGCTATCTTCAAATTCAATGATTATTTCTTCTGCCAGTTCAAGTCTGTTATTGAGCCCTACCAGTGAATGTTATAGTGAATAGTGTATTTTAGATATTGTACTTTTCAAATTCAGAATTTCTATTTACATCTTTTTGTAATATCTCTTTATTGACGTTCTCTATTTAGTGAGGCATTATTCTCATACTTTTCTTTAATTCTATAGACATGATTTCCTTTAGTTCTTTGAATATATTTATAACAGCTGATTGAAAGTCTTTGGTAAGTTCAAGATCTGGGCTTCCTTAGGAATGGTTTCTGTTGGTTCCTTTTTTCCATGTGTATGGGCCATACGTTCCTCTTTCTTTGTGTGTCTCATAAATTTTGTTGAAAACTAGACATTTTAAATAATACAAAGTGGCAACTCTGGAAATCAGATTCCTCTCCCCTCTAAGGGTTTCTTGTTTTTTTGCTGTTTATTTTGTTGTTGCGGCTGCTGTTTGTTTAGTGACATTCCTAGGATAATTCTGTGAAATCTGTATTCTTTCTTGTGTGCAGCTACTAAGTCTCTGCTCAGTTAACTTAGTGGTCAGCTGATGAGTAGACAGAGAGTTTCTTAAATTTCTTGATCCAGTAAGTCTCTCAGCTTTTCCTGAGGGGCTCTACGTGTGTGTTGGGACATGTGCTTAATGCTCTTTCAGGAAGTTTACAACTCGGCCTTAGCCTTCCCTTTCTGCGTGTGAAGATCCCCAAGGTCAGCCACAGGTGATAGATTAGGGTCTTTTCAGGTCTTTCCTGGGCATATGTACAGCCCTGCACAGGAGCATGGCCTAGTAGATTCCAAGGAATATTTTGGAGCTTTTCAAATCTCCCTATGGACATCTCATTTTCTACTTTTTCTCTTTTAGTTTTTTGACTAGACTTTTGTTAGCCACAACTGGTATTGCTGCCTCAGGTAGCTGTGATGTTAAATAATTGCTGCTGATTGTTGTCATGTTGTCATGTCAAATGCTGTGAGGATAGGGCCATTCTCGTAGAGCAAGCTCCAAGTAAGGTAAAATAAAGACAAGGCCTGGGAATGGAGCTTTACAGGCAGCTTCACACTGTTCTCTGGGGATGAGACGTTTGGAGAACTCCAAACCTCTTCTGCCTCCACTGCCTACAGTGGCTTCTGTGCTGATGGTTCTCACAGCTACCATAGCTGTGCATCTGTTGGTTTTGAAGGCTCCTGTGGAGCTAGGAAGAGGGGGATAGGAATAGGACAAACTAAAACAGCACAAAACTTACTGTTTTTACTGATAGCCACTTGTATTGAATAAATGTTCCTTGGAATGTTGCAAGCATTTACTAATTTTCGGAGTTCTGAAAAAGTTGATTTTGACAGTTTTTGACAGTGTTTTCATTGCTTTTATGGAAGAAGATGTTTTCAGAGGTGCTTTCTCTGCCATTTCAGAAGTGCTTCCTATAAAATTGTTTTAAGAATACTTTTTAAAGATGATATAGGGAGAAGTCATAGAAAGGTAATATTTCCTGAAACTAGTAATCTGAGGAAACTTTGAGGAAAGGTGAGCTGATTATTATTTTTATATAAATTACGTATTATTTATGTATTTCATAATATATTTATAAAATATGTAATGTGTACATATACTGATACAAATTATTGTATTATACAAAGACAATTATTTGGAATAAAATACAAACAAGGTTGTATTCCAGATGAGATTTTCTTTAGAAGTTTAGATGCTTAGGTGAGTTGTACTGAATAGGAACGTGAGAAGAGTTCACGGGTCTCAGAAGTTTTCTTTTTCTCTTTCATTTTGCTATTTTAGGTGTACAGAGCCAATGGGCCAGATGGAACTGTTGGCAGAGGCCAGAGAATCCACCTGCAGTTATGGGACACAGCAGGGCAGGAGAGGTATGAGAATCTTCAGTTACGTGCTCCTTACTGGAGGAAAGGGAAAAACAGCTTTGCTCTTCACACAGCGACCTAAGCAGGAAAAGGCCAGCTGATTAGTTTATTTGCACCTGGATAACACATGCTGCCAAATTAGCAGGAAATTTATCAGTTTGAGGTGATAGTGGTTGCTTTATTTCATACAAAGTCAAAGGAAAAATGAATCCTTTTCAAAACGGATCATCTTATGTGTGGATTTTTTCTTTCTTCTTTTTTTTAAGGCTTGTACACTTTTCTCCATTAACTTTTGCTATTTACTCAGCCACAAAGAAAGCTTTGGAGTTACATGCATTATTCTTACCTGATTGTTGAAACCTAGTGGAAAATCTGGTTGGCATGAACTCAGATGGTCAGAAGTTGCTTGACCAAAATTAGTTACCTGAAATCTTGATATAAAGTTGCTTTTAGTTTGCTACAGCTTCTGTTTTCTCTCACAGTTTCCTTGAAGAATTTTCTTTGTTTTTTAACTTTTTATTATAGAAAATTCCAAGTATGTACAAAAGCAGAGAGGATTGTATAATGAACTCATGTACTCATTTTCCAGTTTCAACAGTCATCAGGTTGTGGCCAATCTTATTTCATGTGTACCCCTCACCTCTTCTCACTCCCTCCCCCAAATTATTTTGAAGCAAATTCCAAATATCAGATTATTTCATTCATAACAATTTTCATATATATTTCTAAAAGATGAAGACTCTTTTTGTAAAAACATTGATTAGAAATATTTGAGAAACCTTAAAATAGCAGATTAGATGACAAATTCATACGAGTATTTTCTTCCCTGGAGCCTTTGCCTGTCAGTCGTAGGTTTTGCATAAAGGCAAATTAAGAGGAAACTGGCTGTTAGAGGGAGAGAGAGGGGGAGATAGCAGGAGAAAGCCAGAAAGCCCTGGAAGAGTGAATACCAAGAAAGGATAGGGCCTGAGTCAGTGCTTCCCCCACCTTAAAGCCAAATACATGGTTATCAGAGATAAGAGATTTCTGTAGAGCCTGAATTAAAGGTCATGGAACACACTGTAATGTCAAGCCAAGCTTTCACAGGACAAGGAAAACGTACATGGCAAGCACCATTGCTTTGGGGCTAATTAACTCTTAATTGTACAATAAATTCTTGGCTGAGACTAAGGGATCACAAGCTAGTACCTGTCATCCCTGTCCAGCAGGCTGGGTTTTCAAATCACGTGGTCTATTAACACATAAACTTATGGAAGTGATAAATAACTGTCTTAGACACTTTTGGAATATCATCTAATTTGTTTTTTTTTTAATTTTCAATTTACACAGATTGTTTTTATTTTAAAAGAAAATTCCAAGAATAGCTTTGATAATCGTTGGCATTTTATAAAATGTAGATATATTTTCAAATATTCTTTCTTGCTCTAAATATCTCTTTACTGTATTTTCTAAGATATTTGATATCATTGATTATAATTTTATCCTAACAGCATAATTTGTCATTGCATAATTCACTAAATCTTATGTAACTAAGAGCTACAATATGCATATATAATGTGAAGTTATTGGTAACAATGGCATGTTATTAAACATCTAGTTTGTTATTGGTGAACGATTGTAAGAGGCTGAGGGCACTGCTGGTAGCTTTCTATTTCAGGACCGGGGCCATGGTTTAGGTGACCAGTCTGCTTTTATGTTCCCAGGTTTCGTAGTTTGACAACAGCATTCTTCAGAGATGCTATGGGGTTTCTTCTGCTTTTTGACCTGACAAATGAGCAAAGTTTCCTCAATGTCAGAAACTGGATAAGTAAGTGTTTTTGTTTCCCTTCCTCTCACTCCCCGCTCCTCACAATAAAACGCCCTCTCATATTCTACTTATGTCATAAATTGTTTTGGAGGAACTCCTAGTGCTATTTAAAATGCTGTTTAAAGAAGCTAGGTTTTTAGTTTTGGGCAAAGATAACTGAAATACTCTGCTTTTCCTAGTAATATGTACTTTGATTTGTTGAGTACTTCCTACACTCCAGGTACAAGGCAGCACTTTCCAAGTACCTTCGTAATTAGCCTTTTCCCCAGAGGGGCCCCTTAGCCCCACTTTTATTGATGAGGAAATAGAAGCCTAGAGATGTTAAAGCTCTAAGTAACTGCTTGTCTATCGTGTGCTATCAATTCTTGTACCACTCCAGGGTTTCAAACATATGTTACATAGACGTAAATACCTTTTGAAGGCTTAATGGATCCTACCCCTGGCTCCATGTCTCTTCTGTACTTAAAGGCCCTTTCTCTGCTTTTAGGGCCAGTGCATTTGCCGGGAGAAGCCCATCATGGAAAACTCTAGAATTGCATTGGCAAAACTGGTCCCCAGCACAATATATATAAGCTTCATTTTGGCTGTTTGGAGAGATCTTAATCTCTTAAACAATTAATTAGTAGCCATTTAAAATCCCGCTACTTGACCAAATAACAGCTTGCAAATGTACATTTTCCTCTATTGGTTGTAGTGGTGTAAACCTAGAGAATCTATTGGGGAAGGTCATGAAATTCTTAACATCCAAATCTTTACAATGAAAACACTTAAAAATTCCTACTGCTTAAACATCACTTGGTGTTTTGGTATTATGAAAGGGTAATTGGCTGTGGTTTCGGTGGTAGAAAACCTTATTTTAAAAAATGAGGTTTTAAATAAGTAATTTTTGTCGTGTATTGTGGTTTTCAAAGCATTTTCACATACTTTGTATCTGATCCTCACAACCACCCCGTGAGGAGATTCAGGCAGGTGGTGTGTCCTTATTTTAGGATGAGGACACTGAGCCTTAAAGAGTAACAGATTTAGCCAAGGATGTGGAGCTTTTGGCTTTCAGTTCAGTGGCCTTTTATGCTCTTTCTCAACTAAGTTGATTACTAAGAGTTGAAGAGCTGTTTAATACTTTAAATATAGGTTCCCGAATTTAATTATGCTTACTGGGCTTCACTTTGTTAAATGTATTGCACACCTCATTATTTCCCTTACAGCTGAATGGTGGTGGCTATTTCTAGTCCCTTATCCTCAGCTCTTGCTTATCATCCTCTCCTTTGCATCATCAGAAGAAGTTCTGGGGCTTTCTTAAGTCAAGCACTTTATAAAGACCATTATTAGAGATGTGGTTGTAGAATCTTACCATTGAAGATCATCAACCCACCTGTTTTTCACAGATAGAAGTAAAAACCCTGAGGCAGATAAATCTTGCCCATCTGGGCTTTATAGCTAGTTAGGTAAAGAACAAAATTTTGTGGAATTATGTGTATGCATGTATTTTATTTTGTTTTCCTCATAGTGTAAAAGATTCCTTATTGCCCAATTAGGTAAGGAAAACTTAGGCATATTGAAGATTACATATCTTCAATGGAAAGTATCCTCCTCCTCTCAACTCCATTTCTAAAAAAAGGTATAATGGTCAGTGTCAGAGGTGGTAATATCAAATCTTAATTACAAATACAAATTTGTTAATTTCTATGCATTTAATTTTTCCTCTGCCTGTTACCATTTTGAGTATTATGGGGACCATTCATTTCTCTTTTTTTGTCAAAATAGTAGTTAAAAAAATATATGTATATAAATGATGCATATGAGAACAGAGGCATTGTTGCATTAAACAAGTAGCTGACTCCTGGGCCCTGATGGCCGGAGGGAGAGGAGAACAGGTCTGCCCCCTCCCTTTGCTTCTCCAGAGCTGCATGCTAGTCCCTTCTTTCTTGACCCCAAATCTCTCCCTGCCTCCTGGGAAGAGGATGAGAGTCCAGAGGTAAGGCCTGCTGAGTTTAGGAGACTGAACAGAGAGCTGAGTCGTCTGGGCTTAAATTTGAAATCTGAAAGGATCAGTTAGTGTTGTATCCACTCACCTGTCTTCCTAGAACTCAGAGGATAAGCAAGTCATGCCCATAGTCATTCCTTGTCTAGTGGCAGCATATTTTGTAAGGAAACTTTAAAGTAGTCTAAATTTCTAAACTTTTCTTCTGTAGCTTCACATAAATGGTATAGGAGCCCAACATGTTTTTGCCTCTATATTTTTATTCCTATTATTCCATCTGTCTGAAAAGCTCTCCCAACACTCACCTCCATTTTTTCTTTAACATTTTTTTAAGAGTTCTACTTAATATTTAGAAACTGGAAAAAAGTGATCTCTGTGAAATTTCCTGTGATACCTTTAGTTGGATTTTTCTGTCCTCCTAACTCCTGTTACATTTTTTACTAATTATAGGTCCCTATCACACACTGCCTCACGTTGTAGTTACTTACGGATGGGCCTTTTTTCATTGTGAGATTTTTAAAGTAATCAATTAATTTACTTTTTATGTAAGTAATTCAGTCTTTGTAGAAAAATTGGGAAAAAAGAAAAACCACCAATAATCACACCTCCCAGACTCCCCAAAATAACCACTATTAAACATTGTTATTGGTAATACTTACATGGCATTTCTAAATCCTTTAATATATTACCTTAGTGGTTCTCAAGTGTGAATGTGCATCTGGATCACCCAGAGGTCTTGTTAAAACACAGATTCTGGACCATGTACCCAGCATTCCTGACTCATTGGATCTGGGGTGGGACCTGAGAATTTGCTTTTCTAGCAAGTTCCCAGGTGACAGTAAGGCTGCTGGTCCATGGACCTTACTTGAAGAATTATTGAGTTAACTCATTTAATCCTCACCTTAACCCTTTGAAGAAAGTACCATGATTTTCGCTATTTATAGATGGGGAAACTGAAGCACAGAGTAATCAAATAACTTCCTCAGGGTCACACAGCTAGTAAATGGCTGAGCCAGGATTCAGCCTTAGACACCTTAGGTCCTGAGTTCATGCTCGTAACCATGACACAGGACATATAAGGTGTTAACAAAGCACAGAGCCACTCTGGAGACCAGAAAGGTTTCACAGTAGAGGTAACTGAGAGGCAAGTCTTAAAGAAAGCGAGGTGGTTCCCTGAAGGAAGGTTGTGGTTGGGAATTCAAGGGTGTGGGGACAGCAAGTGTAACATCCTGGAGGAAAGAAAGGGCATGGCTGTTATAGGAAACAGTACACAGTTGGTCTTGCCTATATAGGTCTTGTTTCCTCAGTTTTCCCTTGAGGGCAAAGGTCAGAGCCCTGAAATTCTACACCAAGTATCAGGCCCATGTTAATGCTCAGCAAATGCTTCTCAACTTGACTTTCTCTTGCTAAGACATGATGGACATGTCTTCATAATGAGGAACTAACATCTCAACACTCCTCCGCTTAACCATAATAAAAATAAATTAGTCCATAAACTTAGGGGGATATCTTATTGTGAAAGTTTGGGCTGCTTTAATTTCATTATGGGATGTGATGAGTAAGAAATAAGACTTTATTTTCCTTCTTTGGGAGATTAAACTATTTAGCTTAGTGAAGCTCTTTTGTTTGATTTAATTGCTTTTAAAAAATTATGGCTATTTACAGGTTTTTAGGTGAAAAGAAGTAAAAGCTGTGGAGTAAGAATTGTAATCTATGCTGCTTCTTGGTTCTGGTGACAGGATCATTTACTATTTATTCTGGATTTTCTCTCTTCGTTTAATCCCATGTCTTGTTTGTTTTCTTGATTCTGCTTTAGGATAATAGAAAAATGTGAAAACATTTCAGATAGAAACAGGCTGGTTTATAGGAACAGTTCTTTTAAAGATGTTATTGCTTTGGAGAGAGGGTATATAAAAACAGTGCTTTAAGATTAGCAATAAGCACTAGGAAATCCTCCAAGTTTTTTTTTCAAATGCCCTTCATAAAAATGATAGCCATATGCTGTGTGTGTGCGCGCGCACATGTGCATATGTGTGCACACGCACACTTTTGGAGGGTTAGCAAATTTTCCCATTCTTCGCTGACGTAAATAAGCTGGGGTACATGCTCAAGGACAGGATGAATGCCCCGTCCATTCAGTTTTACAGATTAGGTTATGGATGCTTTGAAAGCATTATATCAGTTCCTTATATCTCTATATCCATTTACAGTTTCCAAAGCACTTTGGTGTATATTCTCCATTGATCATACGCTTATATTATTTACCTATAATAAATTTTCTTATCTTCTTAATTTAATAGGCCAGCTACAAATGCATGCATATTGTGAAAACCCAGATATAGTGTTATGTGGAAACAAAAGTGATCTGGAAGACCAGAGAGTGGTAAAAGAGGAGGAAGCCAGAGAACTTGCAGAGAAATACGGGTGAGTATTTTTGTGCAGAAGTCTAGAGAAAACATTTCCAATGCAAACATTAGCACATGAATGGGTAACAAAAAAGGCAAAAGCAAAAAATTAAAACAAACTCCAAGATGTAGGCCTTGGGAGGTGTCAAATACCTACTTTGCATATTAATATTATATAACTGGGGGACCCACCATAAAAAAAACATGGGGTAAGGGTCTTTATTCAGTGCTTCAGTACCATTTTCTCAGTCTCTTGGTGTTTGAGGAAAGACAGCTTTGAGGGCAAATGCCTTAACTGTGTGTAAGGCCGCCTTTCCAAGAAGCAAGTAGGAGATGCCCCGGATAAGGAAATTGTCTATGTTCAGCAAGGAAATTTCAAAGCCAGTTCATATTCTCCTGTAGAAATTTCTATGCTGGGAGGGGAGTGTGAAGATCCCTCTTTGTTCAGGCTGTATTTCTGTTGTGGAGAATCAACTAAATACAGTCTTCCTTCTTGAGCTCTGGGGAGAGGATCACAGTGGCAGCAGCAGCATTAATTGGACAGGAAAGAAGGGGTCAGCGCTGCTTATTAAAGTGTCAAGGGCATCTCCTCAAAGGAATTTGTGTTTTACTTTCTTTCCACCTCTTATACAGTAAGTCAAATGTGTATGTGTTAATTACCCTTAATTTAGGTGGGAGGCAGCTGTGGTGCTGAGAAGGAAGGGGAAGGAGAGAGAGAGGTGGTTTGGTGTGGTGAGGTATGTATAGGATGTTACCTGGCTAGTGGCCTTGGTTCTTAGGCAGAATCTCAGGAGGCCAGAGAAGGCCCTTTCCCTTTTCATTGTATGGCCACTGCTTTATTCTCCTTCGGGCTGATGGAGGTTTGGAAGGCACTCAAGGATAAGTTCCCTTTGGGAAGGGAGTGAAGGGATAGGCTGGCCAGGTGGGAAGAAGCTGGAGTCTGGAGAACTTTGAATGCCAGGTAAGGAGGGTAGACTTGATCTCCTGGTGTACAGGGAGCTGCTGAAAGCCTTTGAACATGGAAGAATGTTATGAGTACTTTTCCAGATCAGGCTGGGAGCAGTGGGGTGAAATGGAGGGAGGAAAGGCTAGAGACGGGGAGAGTGCAGTGATCTGTCAGGTGGATAGGGGCTGTATTTATGGAAAAGAAAAAGGAGTAAAGTAGAAAAAATACGTAGGGTGGGGCAGAACAGGATTTTAAATCTTTCTCAGTTCTAGCTGGTGGGGCAGGAGGTGTGGGAGTGAGGGAGGTATTCATTCCATTAACTATACTGGCTTACTCTGGCATAGATTTGCAATGGGATGTGGAGCTTTTCACTCGAGGGTCGGTGGTATTTAACCATGTTAGAAGCACCTGGCAAGCTTTTAACAAATACTCATGTTCGGGCCTCACTTCTCACATAATTGGTCTGGAGTGGTTTATCAGGCAAGTTTCAACTGAAGAAACCTCCTTGTATATAAAGCGATTTGACCTTATGCACTTGTGGAGCTGGTTAAGCAGTCTCTGTAAGGTGGTGTTGTGTGTCTGATGCTGAAGCTTGAAGTCCACAGGACAGGCAGGCAGGAAGGGAAGATAGATGTCAAGTAGGGAGAGCAAGAAGCAGCTGGGCCCCGTTATGATGGACTTTGGACTAAAACCCATGTCAGTTCTTGTTGCCTCTGACCTGGGTGGAGTGGGTGTCCTACAGAAGACAGGGCCCTCTGTCACAGAGCTAAACACACACACCTGGCCCGGGAGTTGGAGCAGTTGAAGGAGGATGTAGGGGAAAGTAGAGCAGGTGCAGGTCGGGTTGCTGGTTTATGCTGACGAGATGCACTAGCAGATAAATGACAATGTATGACAGCTACGGAATGGCTGTTGCTTCATTTCCGCCCTCCAAATCTCCCCCAAATCTCTCTTGTGGTCCACCCTAACTGGGAAGGGAATTCTGGGAAATGTTGTTCAACCTAGCCAAGTTGACATAATACAAAGCCACCACAGCTGGGGGCCTGGGCACTGGTATCTTTTAAAAGCTCTCTACATGATTTTCATGTGCAGTGGTTGAGAACCACTGACTGAGGTGATTCTGAGGTGGAGGCTGACAAAGCCCCACAGGCAATTCTGATATGCCCTCCTCCTCCCTTGAGAGGCACTCCTGTAGCACAGTGGGAAGGAAAGAGCAGAGGGATCAAATACCATGGAGAATACTGAAGTGTTGAAGTTGGGAACTGTGTTGCAAGGGAGTGAGGAGGAAGTAAGTGATGAAGCAATGGAAACCGTGGACCTACACCAGACTTTCGAGAAGTGTGTCAACATAGGCCAAAAAATAGGGCAGCTAGGGGGCAGTCAGGATTGGCTTCTTTTCCCTCTGGGCTCCTTCAGCCCTTTGCTTGTTTCCTCTGTTCTGGCTCTCAGGATTCCACATCCTGCCTGGTATCAAAGAGCCTCATGCTGCCTTCTGTCTACAGAGTATAGGAAATGTGGGGACACAGGGGTTATCTTTCATCTGTGCCCAGCTCACAAGGTCTGGGGAGTATTTCATAAGAGATGCTCAATCTAAAGTTTCCGAATTGAGTTAAAATGAGAGAAGAGATTAGCAGATAACTGAAACTATTGGAGAAGAATGGAAATGGATGAAAACAATTTCCTTAGGATTTAGGAAGCTTAAAATATAGTTCTGTAGGCTGTTTGACAGTTTCAGAGGAAGATATGATGGAGCAATTTGGTTCATGTTCATTTCATAAATTTGACATGTAAGTTTAATGATTATTTTCACAGGGATTTTTTTCATTTTTAATAATCATAACATTTTTATTGGCTGCACATGCACTAGAGGACTATATTGGTCAGTTCATCTATTGGGAAATGAAGTCAGAGAAGGGAGCAAAACAGAGGTTTGTTCAAACTTGTACTCCTGCCAGTCAAAACTATTACAGTTCATACTGTTACTGAGACACTTAAAAATAGCTACAGTCAGTGACAAGCATATTAGAAGAGAAAGTAGAGTACAGTATTGACAGCATTCCTCTTTTAGATGATGCTATTGGATCTCAAACTGTAGTGTGCATCAGAATCACCTCAGTGCTGGGTCCCACAGAGTTTCTGATTCAGTAGGTCTGAGGCGGAGCCCAAAACTTTACATTTCTAACTGATTCCCGGATGCTGCTGCTGGTAGCGGTTGAGGGCAGCGCTTCGAGAAGCACTGGTGTAGAGGCCAAGTTACTATCAGGTGTTGTCCCTGCAGATATTTTCCTTGAGAGTATGGCTGGACAAAATCATGATGCACAGACCGTGAAGCGGTTGTCTACTTGTGCCATGCCCAGGTGAAGGAAATATGCTCAATGACTTATCATTGGAAATCCATGCTAAAGAGAGCAGATTTTTTTCACAGTTAATTACATGAGCAGTGATACACATTGGGAAGGGACACTGGGATTGGTACTGAGGGAATGCCAGCCACAGTGAGCAGGCAAGGACTTGACTCTGTGAGTAAAAATGGGTGCATCTAAATGCCTTCTCACACTCCTCTTTATTCACAGAGGATAGTTGGTGGTCATTTGTTCTTGATTCAGAGTTGAGGGAAATAGAGAAAATTGTGAATATGATGAAAGCATGATAATTGAATGTATGTATTTCATGTACTGTGCAAAGAAATGGGCAGCAATTTTTTAAAAATTGAGATAGTTGACATATAGCATTGTATTCGTTTTAGGTACACAACACAATGACTTGATATATGTCTATATTGCAAAATGATTACCATAATAAGTTTAGTTATATCCATTACCACATATAGTTATAAATTTTTTTCTTGTGATTCTTGTGAAAGTTCTTGAGAACTTTAAAGATCTACTCTCTTAGAGGCAGCAAATTTAAGATCACTTTTTTTCCCCACTGATGACTGCTGGCTATTGATGAGAAGGTACTGCAGAGTTTCTGGAATGTAAGATGTGTTAAAAACATTTATTTACAATATTGATAATATGAGTACAGACCATTTTGGGGATTTCAAGTGGCTTAGCTCAGCAGAATGCCCAGTGTCTTATCTATCTGAACTAGATGAAATGTGTATGAATAGCTTGATCTCTAATAGTTTGATTCTTTGCATACTTGATGACATCCTTCCTTTATTTGAGAAATAATGATGTATCATTGGGTATGTTTTAAAACCACACACGTAAGCTGCAACTAGACATACAAGACTGATTTCCAGAGCCTCACACAACTTAGTAGAGGATCTGGATTTCATTTGGCACAATCTCCCAGGTTGAAACAGTCGATTCACCAGCCCTTTCCTGTAAATTCTGTTCATTTAGCATCCAACAGATTATAAAAAGTAGTGAGACTAATTTCATACTTTAGTGAAAAATTTCTCCATAATTTCTGGATCCACATGTGTGAACCAAACGTCCAGAACCATTTGACAGAATCATGTAATACACTTGCTTTCATTCCTGGCAACCTATACCTGGGGTCTAGGATCTTCTAGTTTTGTGGAAATAAATAATAGAAGAGAAACTAGCTGGATGTGGATCCCGATGTTTAGTGTGAGGTGGACATAGATGTCTTGGTGAAAAACTGCAAATGATAGTGCCCCCTCATTGATTTGAAGCTGTTTGCCATTTTGCTTATTTTATTTTAAAATTTATGATTAATTTATTTTCTAAAAGCATGCCAAAATTGGTGTTCTGCATGTGTTCCAAATGGCTGCTAAGTGGTCATTTACAGACTGATACCACAATGAGCTGCACAGGAGTTTTTCAAAGGTTTGGCATACTGCCCCCTAGAAATGCTACATTAGCACCACCATGTGGAGAGAAGGAGCAAAACCACCCTTTCTGTGGTTAAAAAGGGGACAATTGATCCTCCTGAATTTAAGCTAAGATTGCTAAATTTTTGCCTAGCAAGTTTCGAAAAGGCAGAATATTGTTTTTAGAGAAGAAAAAAATTCCAATTAGGTTAACAATTATTGAACACTTGCTGGATACTAGGCTCGTGCTAAGCCCTTTGCATGTGTTATCTCATTTCCTCCTTATCATGACCCCATGAACCACTGTTGCCCCTCTTTACCAATATGGAGAAGTGTTCAGATAAAGTAGCCTAAATGCCTTCTAAAAGTGAACATTAAGAAGATAAGAACATAAAAATATTGCTAACTCCTTCCATTAGACTTCCTATGCCCTTAGAAGAAGCTGAGCCATCCAGTTTTCAAATATGAGCACAAGGCACATTTCTGCCTCTGGGGGCATCCTTTTATTATGGAAGGAAAAATCTTAATTTATGGTCTTGACTGTGGATCTCATCTAGTTCGCTTTTCCTCTGGCAGCTGAAAGAGCTGAGAGCGGAGAGGAGTGAACTCTAGCATTCATTTATTCCTGTAGAAATAAAAACCACATTGCCCCAATTGCTCAGAAAACTGAATGATTCATCTAAAGTTTTTAAGGTTGTTAACCTGACTCCTGGTCACATGACCTGGAGGTTCACAAATGGCAGGAAAATATACTTTTAATTGAAGGATAGAAGTTTGAAACTTGAATTTGGAGTTATAAATCTAAAGTACATCTTGTTAATATTATACATCTTTTTTATGAGTGACTTAAAAATTTATAACTTTACTCATGTACCCTGAAGTTCTAACAATTAAATGTTTGCTTGTTAGTAAATATTAGACAATGGCTCATAGCTCTGCTAGAGGTATCAGTCATTTATACCTTAGTGTTAATCAGGAAAGTAGGATCCATTTTCTCTCAGTATTTAGTGATGATGGCTTGGGAAATGAGGGGTTTGACGAGGACTGAAGGGAGGCAAATGCTCTGGAGCATGAAGCCATTTGGTGAGGGCAGGTCTGAGGGAGCCATCTCTGACTCAGGGGAGCATGGTCCCAGGTACCAGAATTTAGGGCAGTACTATAGATCAGCTGCATTTGTGAATGAAATCAACGTTTGTGGGCTAGTCTTGGAACTTAATGTTTATAGTGTTGCTAAAGTCACTTGAAGCTATGACTTTCCATGATTCAGTGACATTGTTTCTATGTCTTCTGAGTTTTAAACAAGAAGATTACAAACTTTTGTAACCTAACATGTTTCTGTGTTGGAAATAAATGTTTATTAATGACACATTTGTCAAAAATGACACATTTCTTACGTATCAGATTCCAATTGTAGGAGAGGAAGACAATTCCTCTACTCTCTAGGTCCTTCTGGCCAGTCTAAGAATTAAGTTGATGTGAGCCAGAACAACAGGAGAAATCAAACAAGGCTTTATAACCTGTATAAATGGGAGAAACCCAGGAAAACTGAGTAACTTGCATAATGGCCAAAGCCACCACCTTAAATACCATCTTCAGCTAAAGACAAAGAAGGATGTTGGGGTAGTGGTTTGGGACTTCCAGGGGAAGGAAGGCAACTTACATGGAGATGGAGATGCAAATGGGCCAACTATAGACAATGTGACCTGAGAGACACATCGTACATTACACTACAGTTAACTTACGGTATTAGCTCCTTCCTGGAACAGGCCTTCTATCTTAAATTCTTTTGGGCAGTTGTGGGGGAACATCAGAGTTTCTTTCAGAGCCTTTTGTTCTTAAAAACAATCAAACTGATGGGGCTGGCCCCGTGGCCGAGTGGTTAAGTTCACGTGCTCTGCTGCAGGCGGCCCAGAGTTTCGTTGGCTCGAATCCTGGGCGTGGACATGGCACTGCTCATCAAGCCACGTTGAGGCAGTGTCCCACATGCCACAACTAGAAGGACCCACAACGAAGAATACACAACTATGTACTGGGGGGCTTTGGGGAGAAAAAGGAAAAAAAATAAAATCTTTGAAAAAAAAAATCAAACCAAAGAGATACATTTTCGGGTGGCCAATTTTTTTTTTTTTTCGCCGAGGAAGATTCGTCCTGAGATAACATCTGCTGCCAATCTTCCTCTTTTTGTACTTGAGCTGCCACCACAGCATGGCCACTGACAGACGAGTGGTGTAGGTCCGCACCTGAGAACGGAACTCAGGCTGTCAAAGTGGAGCGTGCTGAACTTAACCACTAGGCCACAGGGCTGTCCCTGGGGTGGCCACTTTTGATCCCCCACACAATCTAAGTGCTTTAAATATTAACTCATTTAATCCTTATAAGAAGATACTGATATTATCTAGCTTAATGGATGAAGCAACTGAGGCACAGAAGTTAATGGCTTGCCAGGGTTACACAGTTGGTAAGAGGTCATACTAGGATTTAAATCAAAGCAGCCTGGCTCCAGAGGTTATGGCTCTTAACCATTGTCCAAACTGTCTGTAACTTCCACACACAGGTTTTTTTGTTTGTGTGTTTGAGGAAGATTAGCCCTGAGCTAACTGCTGCCAATCCTCCTCTTTTTGCTGAGGAAGACTGGCCCTGAGCTAACATCCATGCCCATCTTCCTCTACTTTATATGTGGGATGCCTACCACAGCATGGCTTGCCAAGCGGTGCTATGTCTACACCCAGGATCCGAACCGGTGAACCCCCAGCCGCCAAAGTGGAACATGTGCACTTAACCACTACGCCACTGGGCCGGCCCCCATGCACAGGTTTTTAAAAGTACTTTCAACTATGTTTTCTCATTTATGCCTTCAAAATGACTGTGAGGTAATTTTCAGGAGCTCAGAAGGAAGAAACTATGGAAAGTAGAAATAGCTTAATGGAGCTTCAGTTGAGAAATTCAATGAAGCTGAGGACTCTAGAGTTGGAAAGCTATTTATTATTGACTTTGAGGAAATTTTAAAAATTGGATGTACATTGTTATGAGTAGTATTTACAAGAAAGTTTACTGCTCAACTGCTTTTTTTTTTTTTTTTTTGCTGAGGAAGATTAGCCCTGAGCTAAAAACTGTGCCACTCTTCCTCCACTTTATATGTGGGTTGCCACCACAGCATGGCTATAGTGGTGTAGGTCCATGCCTGGGATCCAAACCTGTGAACCCAAGCTGCTGAAACAGAGCACACTGAACCTAACCACTACACCACAGGGCTGGCCCCAACATTTTTTTTGCATTTCCAATTTCAGCTCATTCTTGGAGGGAGGGATGAGTTTTTCAGTTGCTTTTCCATGAAAAAATGTATTTCTGAGTGGTGATAGAATGATCAAGCCTTCTTCTTAAGTATAAGAAATGATATGTAGACATTAAATGATTCTTCATGAGTATAACTGAGAAAGAGCATGATGAAAAAAATGTAAGCATTTAAATTTTGAGAATTGTCAGTCCAAAATTCAGTTCCTGAAACAATGGTCCCCGGGACTTAGCTCAATAACATCATAGGTACTTGATAAATAAATATTTATTGAGTCCCCACAAAGGATCCCATGCCCTCTTCTCTCTTGGCAATCAAATACTTCTTGTGACTTCTTGGGGTGGGAAAGATGCATTATCTTCATTTTGTGGATAAGGCAACAGATGAAGATGGAGGAAAGAAGACTGACAGTAACCAAAGAGGTAGCCAGGCAGGAGGTTTAAGCACTACTGAGACCATGTAACCTGCCCAGCAGACCCTTCTCTGATGAGGATATTGTAGAGTCAGCGTATGAAGGGCTATGAGTGCGGGTGTGGTAGAATTGGTGGGGCAACCTTGTCTTGCAGAACCCACGGATGGGTAGATAAACACTCAAATGAAGTGACAGTTCCTCAGCCAGTTTTTAAGAGCTATACTGAAACAGGAAAAAGTTGCAGAGGTCCAGTTGCAGGTCTGTCAGCTCCTACAGGAAGTGTGCAGATAAGAAGACATCATCTTGAGGACTCCTAATGGAGAAATAGCCTTCCATCCCTACACAGGTACCCCCTAATGTGCTTCTTAGGGACATAAGAAGCAGGACACTTCTGAAAAGATCTGTAAAAACCATAAGATGGTTAAAAAAAAAATCTGTAAAAGCTGTCATTTGGAAGCTGCTCCTAGGCAGGAAATACTAAAAGAGTAACTGAAATTGTGGTCAGAGTAATTGCTGTTGTGTTAACATGCTATGAGAACACAGGCAAACAAAGACATTCTTCAAGAAGAGTAATGGTGGAGGACTTTAAAGTCCCTATAAATGTAAGGACTACTATACTGAATGCAATTGCAGAACTCCCTCAGGTACTAAGACAACTTTCCTTTGGAGTTTTTACATCTAAGAGAATTCTGGTCAGATTCCTTACTAAGTGGTGGAAATGAAATCAACAGATGGAGGAAATACAATTTTATCACTATTTTCATGGCTTTATTAAGAAGCAGGAAGAATTTGGCAGTTGATTAATTAATCCTATTGCAGAGACTGACTCAAATAGATCAGGGTGGCCACCACAAGAAGAGTGATTTCTCAAGATGATGTGAAAAGCAACCTTTAAAGTTTTGAAATGACGCTTTGTGAGTTATTAAAAAATTACACATATCCCACCAGTCCTTGGATATCAAAGGAAACATACTTATGATTGATGTCCTTGAGGAACTTTGAGATCTATAGGATTCAGAATGTCTTCAAGTGTACAGTACAGGGATACAGCCTGGAGTTGACAAGTGGCAAAGCCTTTGACAAACACAGCCAGGGACCTCTGATTTCTCTCTACTATCAGCTTTTTGTGTGTGTGCATCAAGTAAAAGAGATTTATTGTTTTGGAAATCCTCATACAATATAAGTAAGTTTGGAACTAGTAGAGCCTATGGTTAAGTTGTTTACACTGGAATCAAACAGCTGTGGATTCAAATCCTAGCCCCGCTGCTTTCTAGCACTATGAAATTGGGCAAGTTACTTCATCTTTCTGAGCTGCAGTTTAATCATCTGTGAAATAGAAATAAAAATTTCCAGAAGTTTTACATCTCTATTAGGAATGCAGTGTCAATTATTTTTCACTTTTTAATGTACACTGTGGTGGTAAAATGCTTTCGTTGTCTTGTATATTTGTCCTCTACTTATTTTCTAACTTGAATTATCAAGGGCAAAGATCACTGTCCTTTCCTTCCGCATGTTGTTACGCAAGTTGTCTCTATCTTCCAGAATCCCCTACTTTGAAACTAGTGCTGCCAATGGGGCAAACATAAGCCAAGCAATCGAGATGCTCCTGGACCTGATAATGAAGCGCATGGAACGGTGTGTGGACAAGTCCTGGATTCCCGAAGGAGTGGTGCGATCCAATGGTCACACCTCTGAAGATCAGTTAAGTGAACAAAAGGAGAAAGGGGCATGTGGCTGTTGAAAAGTCAAGTGAACTATACAATAATTCAGGTGACCGGTGTCTGTGATCTTCTCTGTGGGTGATACATAGCACAGAGAGAGATTAATGGGCATTGTGTACAAACTGCTTTTCATCGTCCCAATTAGGCCTGTCAATAAAGCATCCAGTTTTAAAATTTATTTGCTGCAGCTTTGTAAATATTTCTTTAAGATTCAGCCTGAGAGTTAGGAGAAATATTTCACATAGCCAAAAGTGCCTTATAAAACTTTAGCCCATGGCAGTAGATCATTCACAGATTCAGGATTTTGTAGCTACAGAAGAGTGCGTTTATTTTGTAGAATGACTGAAGATACTGTCACCTGCCTTAATCTGGATAGGCTCAGAGTCTCACATTCAAGATCTTAGATGGTATTATAAAACCATCAGTCTTTAATCCAAATTAAAAAACTCTACTTGTACCATAGGTGACCTTCTAAAATGCCATCTAAACCACTTGAATGTTAAACAAGAATGTATACAAATGTCAGTTCAATGTGCTTGAGTATTAATTTATGTAAGCATTCTCTTTAAAATGAATATAGGACAAATTGTGGCCGTATCTATAGACCCTAGATAAACTGGACTGACCAGTTATTCACTCACTGTGACTCTTATTGGTGAGAAAGGGATTGTGGGTGAGGGCAGGAGTGGCTTAATGTAGTATGAGCAACTGAAGTGGGGCTTCTGGCTCCCTGCTATATGCTCATTGCTCTGCACGGTTGATTGAAGGATCGGGGAACTAGATTTTTATGGCTTTAGTTCCCTGTGATCTGTGCATTTATACCTGCCTATGTGCCGGCCACATCTGAACGTAGCTGGTGTTTATGCTGAAGTTATTTGTGTATTTTAGCTTCTTTTTCTTCATATTTATAATGTTGTTCTGGCATCCTCAGATTGCAGTTTCAATTAGCTTGTGAAATACTACTCATCTTCTGTCTTCACCAGCAGGCTCTGTATTGTTGATATTTCAACTTGTTTTATTCTTACATTGGCGGAATTGAAGGAATTAGTTTTTAATTGCATAAAATGTCTGTTTACTAATTGGTGGAAGATAGATGTTTGTATTTAAGCAGTTACATTTGTATTCTAGCTCAATAGAAGAAAGCCGAAGTGTTGTATAGCCTGTATTTTTCATTGAGATCATGGGCATTTACTGTACTTGCTGGATCTTACCAAGGTCATGTATTCTTCTGCATTGCCAAAGTGTCTGCATACCAAATTAAAGGGGTTTTTAAATACGCTTCATGGCAGTTGTTTATAAAGGTCAAAGGGGAAAATTCTTATTTATTAAAGTGGTTTAAATAAAATAGATTAAAATGTCCAAAGAGTTTAATGGCTATTTAGGAAAAAAATATCACTTATAATTTAAATAAAGGATAAAAATACACATATTTTGTAGTGGCAAATGTTTAGCAGAACTGTAATTAGAAAAATACAACTATGATGGGAAGTAATTACTTTTACATGATAATTTTCAAATGGCTTTTTATTGAGTATCCTGGGCTTTTTTTGCCACTGCCTTCCCACCACTCCCGTAAAAAACTTAGCTGTGGTTACTAAGATCTTATCTATTTCTGTCCTTGAAATGGGGACTTCTTTTAAATATTAAAGAAGTCATTGAGTCTTATGCATTTGAATTGTGTATTCTAGTGAGAGAAAGATTCAGACATTTCAAGGGCAGGGTCACAATCACAAGCAGTGCCTTCTAAAGTTGTCATTAAGAATTTCAGTGGAGTAAATCATAATTTCACAGCTACATATCAGGGAACATTTTATATGGTCTGTTTGTGTAGTTAAAAAGAAGACAATATTTGTATCTTTCAGTCTTTCAAGAACCAAATGAGCAATTAAGTACAGTTTCCATTGACCTGGAACATAATGTACAATTAAACATATACATGATATAGTGCACCCACAAGAACCATCTTTAATTATTGAAATAAATAACCTGTAGTCTCTTTGGAAATCGTTTGTTTAAATTTGATATTGAAGTACCATATTTTTGTGCCTTGATGTATTTTTCTATTTACAAACCTGTATAAAAGTGAAGTGTATCTTCAGTGAACTTTGTGCCAATTAAACTTATAATAAACAAGTGGTCTAGTCTCTCAAGATTGTGTGTGAACATAATGTCATTTCCCATCACAATAAAGTTTCAAACCAGAGATCGTAATACTAAAGGAAACCAAATTCAGGGACACAGATTCCATTAGGTGCTTGATGAGGGCCACCCAGGACAACATATTCTGGAGAAGGTAATTCAAGTATGTTATCATCAGACATCTGTGGAGCATCTACACTCTGGAAAGCGTTGTACTAGCCATTCTCGGGTCAACAAAATAAGGATGGTAATGGCCTGAACTAAGATCAGGGCAGAGATGGATGCAAGAGACATTGGGAAGGGTATAGTCATTGATTGGATGAGGAAGGAATATGTGGGAGATGGACTCTGACCTTATTTCCTACCACTATCCCTCTCACGCACTCCTCTGTAGGCACACTTGCCTCCTTGGACCAGTCAAATGTGTTTCTGACTCAGGAATATTCGCTGTTCCCTCTGTCTGGAATGCTAGTCTTCCATATACCTGCATGGCTCCCTCTCCCTTCTTTTAAAGCTATTCAAATGCCATCTTGTCCAGAAGGACTTCACTGATCACTTTATATAAATTAACAGTCATTCTCGGCCCCCTCACCTCATGGCCCCAAACAGACTGTCACTTCCTGCCTTGTTATCCTGCTTTGCTTTTGTACATGTCACTTATCACCACTTGATATAGTTATACGTTTGTCTCCATGCACTAAGATATAAGCTCCATGGGGACAGGGTCTTAGGCAGTTTTCTTCAAAATTTTGTTGTCACTCCCCAGAAGAGGGCCTGGTATACAATAGGTACTCAAATGGTTATTGGTAGACTAAATAAAGGACTTAAGAGGCTTCAGGGTCAAGTGAAAGAGTTTTCAAAATAGGAGTCACTATTAATATTCACAGAACAGAGGAGTAAAATTTGAAAATAAAGCAGCTTAGGGGCCGACCCTGTGGCCGAGTGGTTAAATTTGCGTGCTCCGCTTTGGCGGCCTGGGGTTTCGCCAGTTCAGATCTTGGGCACCGACATGGCACTGCCTGTCAGGCCGTGCTGAGACAGCGTCCCACCAGAGGCACTCACAGCTAGAATATACAACTATCTACTGGGAGGCTTGGGGGAGAAGAAAAAAAAAGATTGGCAACAGTTGATAGCTGAGGTGCCAATCTTTAAAAAAAAAGAAAACAGCTTAAAAAATGTTTAGAAAGGCTCATATATAATAAGTCCATATTGGTTTATTATAAGAAATTAGGAAATCTGAGAAGTACATTCTGATCTTTTGAAGTTGGTGTCAAGAGAGCTAACAATCTGCTTAAGAAAGGTTCAGTAAGGAATGTTTTCATTGGCGTTTTTATAAACTGGAAATCTCTAGAAGGTATTTCCAGGTCTTCTATTTTTGGCCTTATGGGTGACTGTAGTAACCGGAAAACTCTCCCACTATAAAACACTTAGATAGTGCTGGGTAAAATATAATGAACATATTTTAAGTGTACTGTTGTTCTCTCAAGAAAGTAAGGGAAATACCTTAAGACTACCCCTCTCCCACACAAAACAGGCAACAACAAAAACAGCAACAACAATGGCAACATCAGAGGGAACTTAGAACAACCTAATAGCGTAGTTTGCTTTGGTTTGGTTTTCCCAGTATCAGTAATCAAGGGGCTTGGTTTTAATGGATACTTGCCATCAGGAGAGAAAGCCTTGGATCTGTTGGAGGTAGGGCACTGGAAGGGAGAAACTCCTGCCCCAAACACACACAAAGCCAGTGTCCAGCCTATGTCTTAGCCTCCCATGAGAATTTATAAGCATAAAGTCCACTTTTACACAGGTTTGGGGTTCAAGTTTACCTATTTTTTGTCTTAGAATGGCTAACCCAAGAAATTAACATAAAAAAATGGTTGGTTAACACTTCTGGATTACTTGGTAGAGCAAAGCAAAATCTTTTCAGAGGGGACGTCTCCACCAGACCTCACAGAATTCTTGCAGAAAACACCACAGTGACAATGAACTCACAATTTGAAATGACAACCTATTCCTTCCCCACCCCCTCAGCCCCAATTATGAGCAAGGACCAGTAAACCAAAAACAGGATTTGGCGTGTAAGGACTTCAAATAATATACTTATCAGATGGAGATGATAAAGTAAAAATATTTAAAATAATCAAAAACATAAAAGGAATTGAAACATCTGGGAAAAGACAATATTATTAAAGATACAAGACTGGTTTGAATTAAAAAAAAAGACTTCCGCACATGAAGAATATAGCCATTGATATTTGAAACTCAATGGTCACAAGTTAAATGGCAAGTTTGACAGAATTGAAGACAGAATAAGTGAACTAGAAGCGAGTTTGGAAGAAATTACACAGAATTCAGCAGAGTGAGATAAAGAGAAAGAGTGACAGAGATTAAGAGATATAGAGGAAAGATAAAAGCTCTAACATGTCTAATAGGAATTCTAGAAGGAGAAATTAGAGAAAATCGAGGAAGAGGCAATATATGAAAAGAGCTGAGAATTTTTCAGTACTGATAAAAGACATACAATTTTAAATTCAGGAATAACAAGCCTCAAGCAGAATGAATGAAAAGAAATAGCATTTCCAATATTTCACTTCAATTTGTTTGATGTGGAATACATGCTTGTCTCTTCTTCCTCTTGTATTTTGTTATAATAATTGGAAAAAGAAAAAATTCCTAAGACTGGTTACTCATCCATTCAATCTAAAGTGAAGCACTGAGTATGCTCATAGGTTGAAGGGAACAAAGTCTCAGATGAAGCCTTAGGGAATAGGATTAAGAACATGGATAAGGGATGTGGCCTCTGATATTGAAGGTAAGAGGTTGAAGCTGGTTGATCATGTAGGAGACAAGGGGAGGAAATTTCTTGTTCAAGTAGCAGGATAAAACTGAGAGAGCTGGGAAGGAACTACGTAAAGAGTTTGGGAAGATAGAAAAGACTGAGGCTTTTCTATAATTGTTGAGGGGGACAACAAGGAGGAGATTAAACAAGGGTAAAATAATTTTCAGTCTCTTGGTTGACAATGAAGTGAGGAGCAAATATTTATTACTAAAATTTCTGGTGTGTGCCTTTGTTATTAACATTATTCTGGAATTATTAGTCAAATGATTAGACAAGAAAAATAAATATAAGGATCGGATAAAAAGAAAAAATTAGGGGCTGGCCCAGTGGCGCAGCAGTTAAGTTCACACGTTCTGCTTCTCAGCGGCCCAGGGTTCGCCGGTTTGAATCCCGGGTATGGACATGGCACTGCTTGGCAAGCCATGCTGTGGCTAGGCGTCCCCACATATAAAGTAAAGGAAGATGAGCACGGGTGTTAGCTCAGGGCCAGGCTTCCTCAGAAAAAAGAGGAGGACTGGCAGTAGTTAGCTCAGGGCTAATCTTCCTCAAAAAATAAAATAAAATAAAATGAAAAAGTTATATGAATTTGTAGATTATAACTAGACAAACTGATTCTTAAGTTAAAAAAACAAAAACAAACTTTGAAGAATACCAGAGAAACAATGAATAAAAAACCAAGGAAGGCAGGCAGATGGGGACCGCAGGTAAACCCAGTTATTTTTTTAAAAATTACAATAATTCAAACATTTTGGAACTGGCACATAAATAAATCAATCAAATGAAGCAGAGTGTCTAGAAGTAGACCCCTAGAGAAGTGACTTTTTGAAGTAGTGGGAGAAACAATGTCTAATTCAACATACGGTATTGGGAGAAAAAAGAAAAAGGAATCCTGTGTCATTATTTATATACTTAAGCAAATTTCAGATTAGTTGAAAATTCAAATGTGAAAAATGATCCTATAAAAACAACAGAGGAAAAATTTTGAAAAACAATTTTGAAGAAGGAAATGCAGTTCCGAGCAAAACACCAAATCCAAAACCATAAAAGAAAAGATTAAGTTTGGAAACATACAAACAACACATTTCTGCATCAAAAAAATACTATAAGCAAGGTTTAAAATATTGATAAATTGGGAAATAATTTCTAAATGTCAGCAAAACGGATAACCGTCTTAATATGTAAAGTGCCATTAAAATCAACAACAGTAGAAAACCGTGTAAAGGACATAAACAGGCAATTCACAGGAAAAAATAGATTTCAAACATTTGGAAAGGTTCTTAACCTCACTCATAATTTAATAAATACAAGTTAAAATAATAATGAAAAAAATTTTAACCTCAGATTGGCAAATATCAACTTTGGCAAAGATATGGTGAAATCAGCATCTTATTGTTTGTTGTTGAGAGTTAACTGCTAAAACCTTCTGAAAGGCGTTTAATATTACCTACCAAATGCTGAAAGTGTAGTATCCTCTGACCTAGCAGTTCTATATAGATAAATTTTTTTGAAAAAAAAAAAAGTATATCGGTAAGGATGCTTTTATGCCAAAAGATAGCAAGCAAATGTCCATCCGTAGGCGACCAACTAACACGATACCGTCATACAATTTCATATGTATAACTATGAAAAAAAATAAGTATTCATTGATAATAAAATATGTATTGAATGCTTATTTATGTACCAGGAACTGTTCTAGGCATTGGGGATATAGCTGTAAACAAATGACAAAAATCCCTGCCCTCATGGAGCTCACATTACAATGAGGGGAGACAGATAGCAACGCGCGAAAAATGGTTAATAGTATGCTTATTAGCGCTACAAAGAAGAGAAAGTGGAGACGTGCACACACAAAAATATTTGTCTATACACAGCAAAATCTCTGGAACTGATTGCCACTGGGGAGGAGGACTGGAAGTCTGGGGAGGGAAACTTAGTTTCCTGAGAAAATGTTTCTCTTTATCGCATATGTATACTATGCGGTATTAACAGGAGGGAGGAGTAAAAGTGGAGAACACCACTACAAATCTTTAAAAACACTGCTGGTTAAGTCCTCCGAACCTCAAGACTCAACTGCTTCGGTTGCAGCGTCCCAAGTCGCCTCGGGCAGCAGGCGCTCGCCGCCCACACCAGGCGGGTCCAGGCTGCCCGAGGGGAAATGAGTTCCTGGGGACAACCCAATGTATGGATGAGCCTTCTGGGGAAAAGCACAAATCAAAGACAAGGTAGACAAGACATGAGCAAATGCTGACGTTATAGGGTACGGTAGAGAGGAAAACAAGTGAGCGAGTTCAGAGGCGGCGCAGACCCACACCTCGCTTCCCCAGAGAGGGCTGCCAGGCCGACTGTGCAGCTCTGCGCCTGCGCCAAACCGCAGCGCTTCGGCACGCGCGGCCGCGGGGAGGCGCTGTCACCTTGGCATTGCTTTCCAGGGGCCCGCAGGAGCGAAGGACGCTCGCCTCTTCCGGGTCGGGAACTTGGAAGAGAATCACTTCCTGTGGCGGGGCGACGTCACTTCCTCTCAAGGTCGGCGTCTAGTTGGTGGGTACCCACGCGGGTTCAACATGCGTATCGAGAAGTGTTATTTCTGTTCGGGGCCCATCTACCCCGGCCACGGCATGATGTTCGTCCGCAACGATTGCAAGGTGAGGCGGCCAAGGCCAGCGCGCGCCCCGCTGCGCTCCCGCGGGCTGAGGCGGCCCCGCGCCCGGCGCGGGCTTCCTCTGCCCCTGCGGTGTTTGGCGCGGGGTTTCCGCGCTGCCCCCGCGGGAGGGTGGTTTTGCCAGAAGCTCGGCCTCGACCTCCCCCTTAGGGAGTTTCTCCTTGCGGGCGTCTCGCCCGGAGTTGTTCTCCAGGCCATCCTTGGGCAATGCTGGCTGGCTGCGATGAGGTTCAGGAGCGATCCCAGCCTGCGCCGACGGGGAATCTGGGGTCCATTTGGGCTGTTTGGCCACTCTTGTAGTTGGGCCAAGTTCTTCGGTTCAGTAAACCTTGTTGAACGCATGCCCAGTCAACGTCATTTTTAAGGTCCGTGTTCACAGAGATGAATGCGACTTAGACTGTCCGTGGTGTGTAGAGGCTGATAGAAATGTTGCTTATGGCTTAATAGAGTTGTGTCTTATGACGTTATTGGAGGTGAGTTGGAGAGGGTCGTATGTGAAAAGGCTCAGAAAGGAGACGACGTTTATCCTGGAGCTTGAATTTTGCGTAAGAAAGTAAGGAGAAGGCATTCTCGGTGGAAGGAAAGTGAACAATTTGAGCAAAGGCAGGCAGTGAAGCAATTACATCTCTGTTTTAAGAAGTGACTGGATTGTAGATGGTGATGGAGGTTTGAGGTAGAGCTATAAATACAAATGTAAGTCTATATACAAACAGGTACGTCTATAAACATAAGATAGAAACATACAGATAGAAGGCCTGGTTGTGAAAGACTTTGTGAATGATACATGAATTTGCCTTCTCATATCAGAATGAATCTCATTCCTCTGTTTCTTTAACACATTGTTTCTCAAAATTTGACCTCTCTTATGTTTGCTTCTGAATCACTGGGCGCTTGTAAAAAATAGATTCTTGGTTTCCACCGGATTTATTGAATTGGAATCTTTAAGAAGAGGGGAAGAGGATGTAGGAATCTATATTTAAGGAGATGATTTTGACATTCTAAAGAATTGCAGTTCCTACTTTATGGCCTTATATCTCTATTATAGGCAGAAGATAATAATCTCATTAAGTTAGTAGCAGGGGTTTTTGCTGAAAGTGAGAGACCAAAGCTATGTTTGGGAACTTGAAAGAACATGTAGAAGATTTTGAATTCCTGCTCTCAGGAACGTAATAAAAAATTTATAGAAATGAATCAAATGATGGCTGCATTGGGGTCTAATTCACACTGGGCACTGTGGCTTTGTAGATGATCTGGTCAGTATGATTTTATGATTTTTGTCCGTCACTGTTTGTCAGCTGGGTATTGGAATTAGAACAGGTTGTTGGAGCTATCTAGGGTTGGGTGTTGATCTGGCAGACACAGTGGAAGTTCAAGGTGAGGGAGTCTATATTGCTAGCAAGGGCAGTGTTGCGTCAGCTGGGAGCTAGCTTGCTCTGTGGGAGACCAGTGGATCCAGAACAGAGTTGATTGGGAAAATAAGAAATAGAGGCCTTGAAGCACTAATGAAGAACAAGCATCTCGGCTTCTCTGTGTTGATGATTCCCAAATCTGTATCTCTTTAGTTCCAAGTCTGAATTTTCCAGTTGGCAGGGAAATCCTTTTCATACCGAACAGTGAACTTACTGAAAGAGAGTTCCTTGTTACCTCAACTCTTTCTGCTCTCTGAATTAATACCACTGTCACCTGCCTAGACAGCTTTGCTTGAAACGTGAGAGTCATCTTTGAGTCTTTTCACCTTTTGATCTAGTTACCAATCCTATCCATTCTGCCTTTGCAAAGGATAGTGGTATCTTTGTTTTCTTTCTGCTCTCGTATGCTAGTTCCAAATTAGGCACTTGTCACTTTCATAGCCTCCTAACGAGGCTTTCAGCCTCTGTGCTCTTAGCGTTTGAGACCATCTTTCGTAGAGCCCTCCCCTCTTATGCTCCTTAGGTTGCTTCTTGAGGGTAGAATTAGTTTTAATGCTCTAAGATCCTCCACCAGCAAGAAGATTACAACTCGCTGAAGCCTCAGATGATAGATAGCATTTTTTAGCAATAAAGTATTTTTTAATTAAGGTATGTACATTGTTTTTTAGACACAATAGACTTTAGCACACTTAATAGACTGCAATATAGTATAAACGTAACTTTTATATGCACTGGGAAACCAAAAAAATTCTTGTGACTCAGTTTGTTGTGATGGTTGCTTTATTGTGGTGGTCTGGAACCGAGCCTGCAATGTCCCTGAGATATACCTGCGTATAGCTTTGTCCTATTGTTTGTATCCGGGTCTGATCTCCATCTCTCTTGTTTGCAAAGTGAGACTTTATCACATTACTAGCGAAGCATCTCCAGGTAGAGCATCATGTTTTAATCATTCTTGTCTCCCTCGCATCTAGTGCGACATCAGGCTCATAGTAGTTGCTCCTTTTGCCTGATTGGATCCCCTTCCCATCTCCAGTGACTCCAGTCTCTTCAGATACTTCCTTGGGCTTTTCAGATGACATCTGTTAGCTATGGAGTTCGCGTAGACTTCCCCTGTAACTTCCCAGTGGCTCTCTTTAGAATTGAGGAGACCCAGGACAAGTTCAAACCTCTCCTTAGATAGATGGCAGAAATGGAGGTTTGTCTAGGAGCTATCTAGTAGGTGTAAAATGGAGGAGGCTTTTACTTAAAAGGGTAATAGTACTTGGGGCTGAAAATCCTCAAAGAAATTTTACCAGTGATGGCTTCATAGTGAGTTACTCCAGGAGACTACAGTAGTTCTTATATTTTCTAGTTGTTTTGAAATTAACTCAAGAATGTAGACATACTCTTACTTAACTCTCTCAGGAGAGGGCTCTCTAGGAGGTGAGCGCCTAGTTCAGGTTAAACTAGTATCGACCATTTCTAAGAAAACTGTGTCCTGGTGTGTATAGTGACCTGCCTGACGTTCCCCGTAGAATAGAATGTACATAAAATGAAAAATATTTTGGCTTGTGGTATATTCATAGACTTACTTGGTTTGAAATGTTTGTACCTCATTTTGACGTATTTTTTTAATGGGTCACATCACCTAGGTATGATAATTCAACTTAATATTCTATGCCAAGATCCATAAACTGAAAGAATTGCTTTTTCTCTTCAGATTTCCTCTAGTAGTACACACAGTACACATCGTAATGTGTTCTAAGACATGAACAAAGTAATAAAATAATGTATTTTAGACTTACATAATGAGTCCCAATAAGCTGTTTCAAGAGCACATTGAAGCATCGTTAAATTAAGCACAAAGGATCACATCTTTTGGGATGAAGATGAAGAATTAAAGTAGTGAAGAATCTTCCAAGTAGATCTATGAATAAATACTTTGGAAAACAAATCTAGAGACAATTTTAGTTGCTTTTTTTGAAATTATTTTGTGTAAGGATCAAACGAACCAAAGGAGATTTCGCAGTGGGTTCTATATACTCCATTGAGGTCTGTAGAAAATGAATTTTGAGAATTCTTCTGAATTGGGAAGAGATTTAAATAAATGACTTTCCTTAAAATCATTCCCTTCATTCAGTATCATTGGAAAATTTTACTGTTATTCCATAAAAATGGTAGTTTTTAACTGTACTTTCCGGGCCTTCAGCCTTTAGTTGATGATGTTTGAATCGTTCACTTTCCATTTAATCTGATCTGTCTCACCCATTTCTAAATGGCGTTGTGAGTAAGTAAAGCACATGTGAATGAGAACCGTTGTCATTTCTCAGACTTTACAGTATATTTTGTCTGGTAGGGGTAGCGTAATAGAAAAATTTCAATACTGACTTTTTACTATTTAACTTACTTTTCTTGTAGGTGTTCAGATTCTGTAAATCCAAGTGTCATAAAAACTTTAAAAAGAAGCGCAACCCTCGCAAGGTCAGGTGGACCAAAGCGTTCCGGAAAGCGGCTGGTAAAGAGCTTACCGTGGTGCGTACAGTTAGCTGTCAGTATCGTTTTACAGTTCTCAAAATTTTAATTTTTTTCAGGGGAGCGGTCTGTGATTTAATTAACTATAACAAGGGATATGTGATTAATTATTAATTAATGAGTGACTTATTTGTTTTTGGCTGTGTTGATAGTCTCATTCTCACATGATCCTGAAAACCATAAATCTGTAGAATTCTGAAAAGGAAAAAAATTCCTAATCCAGTTTGTAGAAGTGATTTTTTATCCTCAAGAAACTTTTTAGCTCTTGCAAGCAAACAAGGAGGGAAATCATTTAAATGGATTGAGGTGAAGTTAGAAATTGCTACTTAGGGATTTTGAAAGGAAGTTGAGAGATAATTAATTAAAGGATTCTTGAACATCAGTGATGGCTCAGTTGGGATTTGTAATAGACTCATTTATCAGTTTCTAGATTTCTTTAGCAGGACTTTGTGTCTGAGAGCACAGAACTTAGTTAGTAATGTGGGTGTAAGGAGCAATAGTGGGAAGTCAGGCTGAGGGAATTTCATGACATGAGCCCCCCTCATCATGTTGCTGTTACTGAATCGGCATAAGGAGCTGGTGAAGCTTGTCCACATTCAACCCCTGTAAAGGGAGGAGATGAAAATTTCTCCACAGGCTACCTTTGAGGGAGGAAGATCCTTAAACTCTCCCTTCCCTCCATGACTGCCTCTTCCCCCAAACCCATGATGTCTTTCCCATCTCTCTACTCCTTAAAGGCAGTATTTAAGCAGTTGCCATGAAGCCCTTTCCTGGCTTCGTTAACATCAGAGGTTTTCAATGAACGTAAGGAATGTTAAGAGTATTTTTTAACGAGGTGCAATGACAAATCGCAATTATTGTCACAAAAATAAGTTTCAGTATGGACAAGAAGAAACATAGCCTCTCAGATGCAGGTGGCAAGTGGATGAGTGAAGAAAGGATGCCAGTCGCAGTCATTTTCTGGTGACCTTGTCATGGCTGAGGTTATTGTGATCTGAACAGAGGCATGTGTACATAAATGAAATATGGAGTTAGTGCTGTTCCATATGCGTAAGTCTGATAGATTTGAAAACCCAGAAATACTGGTAGTTTTTCCAAGAAACCTGTAGCTTTTCCAAAATTGTTTTGCATGTTTTGAGATAAATAGGATCATTAACTGTCAAAATACCAACTACATTTGGAGGGGACCTGAAGAATTTCAGGGTGAAGCTTATGTCATGCTGAGTAGCACCATTTATTTGAAGATGTGTAGTTTCACACCTTTGTGCTGTAACAGACATGTATATAGCTATTGAAATATATAATGATGCAGGAGATTTAGGTTGAACCATATGAAATTCTTAATGCTTGACTCTTTTTGGTGTATGAAAAATGGCAGTTTCATATGGTTCAGCCTAATACAAAGTTTTCTGCTGTCAGTCTCATCTAGGGATGGGAAATTAGGGAAACTTTTCAGTTTGATTATAATCCCCATGATTGTTATACACCCCTCTGAGGGGTGGGGGTGATACTGTCCCCTCCCTTCAAGAATCACTCCTTTTTGAGAGATGTTTTCAGTAAGGCTGTCCTGTAAATTGTGGTGCGTAAAGGAGGAGAGTTTGAAAACTTGCATTCGCTGGGGTCACCCTAAGGGGAATCTTATGTGTCCATGGTTTGAAACACTTGGAACTTTTGTGAACTAGGAGAATAAGTTTCAAGAAATGCTTCCTTTCAACCTCTCTTAAAACCATATTTTTCCCCCTCTTACAGGATAATTCATTTGAATTTGAAAAACGTAGAAATGAACCCGTCAAATACCAGCGAGAGCTATGGAATAAAACTAGTAAGTCACAAAGGAATACCAGGAATTTTCAGGAGAGACTGGTTTGGGATATTACTGTAACTTTAATGTCAGTTTGTTGTTTAAGTATTAAATTTCGTTTCCTTGTCGTTCGTTAGGTTTCATTTTATCCTCATTTTAGTGGTTCTCATGTATTTGTCTTTAATTGTAAGCTACCCAAAATCCTTTTCAGAATTGGCTGATGTATCCATTATAAAAATAATGTAATTATTAAATTTGACATTATTTGAAGTAGCTACACAAAGATACAAAAACATCCAAAAATCTGAAAAAAATAGAGATGGAGGATACTTTTTTGGGGTGAAGTGGCAGTTAAAATATACACAAAACATAAGACACTTTACAAGTTAGATAATTTGGTTTAGGGATATAAACGTTGTATTGTGTATACCTTATAAAATTTCATGCTTCTGTAAAATTAAAAAGTGCAGAACTTAAGGTGATAATGAGAAATTCTCAGAACTTCTAAGTGCTTCACTGGGTAAAAATGAAGCTATAGGCTACTGAAATTAAAGGCAATAATATCAAGGTTTTGTGTTTTTTTTTTCCCCTAAAGTAGGCAGAGACTTTAATGAAAGAAAATCCCATATGTAGTAAAACTTTGTTCCTTGAGCTAACTTGTAGATTCCACTATGTCTGTGTGTGTGTGAGGCCCTTGGCCCTGCCTTTTCCTCCCCCATGGCTGCCTTATCCAGCCTTTAGCCGTTTCTAGTCTTGGGTGGGGAGGCGGTGTAGTGTGTTAACCAGAAGTCCCTAAGGCTGAGAATTCTACAAATTTTGTCAGTCTCTAATGGATCATTGGCAGGGCTTCCCTTTCAGAACTTTTCGACCAGTCAGTCGCAAGACTTCAGGGAGGAATTGGAAAGTTAGGGGCCTTTGTAGTAGTATTTGACACCCTCTAAAGCTTTATCTTGGGCCACGTGCAGAAATCAGAGTCTAGATTTGTAAATACCTATTACACATAGCCCTGAGTATTCTGCCCCTTAGTGGGTTTTTTCTTTCTTTTAAAATAAGATCTTTCCCTTTTGTAATTATAGAGGAAGAATTAATTTTTGAAAAGCAATTGATTTTATTGGTTCTATTTGGTCAGGAAATAATACTGATTCAAACTCAAGGATTTCTGAAAAGATTAATAACTTCATAGGATTCTTTTTATTGAGATATAATTGACATATAATATTGGTTTCAGGTGTACAACATAATGACTTGATATCTGTGCATATTGTGAAATGATCATCACAATAAATCTAGTTAACATCCATCACCACACATAGTTACACATTTTTCATAGGATTCTTAAATTGATTCCAAAAGGCAGTCTTCTCAGGGACATTATTGGAAGTTCCTCAAGCATTTCTGGACTCCATTGAGTTTTATTTCATTTTGGCCTTTGTTTTCTTTTTTGTCACTGCTTGAAGATAGCAGCCCTAAATCATTTTTACATATTTTATAACTCCTTTTATTTGGTGGGTATTCAGCTTGATGTTGAAACAGGTGCTTATCTTATTTTAATTGTGTGTGGACATTCAGTTACTATGACTCTCCATGCTGGTTTGTTACTTACATTACTCATGGGAAATACTGTTGGGTTCTGTAAGACTTCATATACTTTAACAATAAGCAGTGACTCTAGCATACAAAGATGAACAGAGTGCACACAGTCCCTTCCCACTCGGTGCATTTTACTGAATACTCCTATTTTATTGTTTCTGTTAGATGGTAATTGGTTCAGATATTATCACAAAGTCTCATTCCCTTGCCCCACCTCATTTATACATCTGTAAATGCTGTAAGATGCAGTGCTCTATTGAAGTTTTTTTTTCCTGCACAGATTCTGTAATCCTTTCATATTAAAATCCTAAAAATAGACTTTTCAAAGAAGATTTGCAGAATAGACAGTATGAGTCTTTTGGAACTTAAAACTATTTCCTACTGGTTAATAAGATTAATAAAAGTTGTTAGTAGTGTTCCAGAAAAATATATTACTCTTCTGAAAGATTTGTTGATTCTCTACACCCTCTATTTCAGTATTGTCTTATCTTTAATCTGCTGCCAATAGTTTTGTATCCATTGCTTACATTATCTAATTGCATGAAGATGTGGACTGAGCAACATTTAAGATGCTCATGTCCACTTCAGAAGCAAGAATACTAGCAAGAATAGTTTGTATTTTATCCCTCATTTCTTTCTGTATTGCAGATCAATTTTTAATGTCTGTCAGATGGCTGCTTACATTTAAAATTTTTTGGTCTGGAATATTTGGAAATGCAGTGTCTTCTTTGGAAAGGGGTTGTCTGCCACTTGTGTGTTTATTTCCCTTCTGAGTAACTTTCAGGTTGCAATTACTTCTGAGTACTAGAACTTGGCCTTACCATTTTTCCTGAAAGACGAAGGAAAAAAACCTTACATATGCACCATAGTATTAATTCTAAGCCACAGCATGTGCAGATTTAGAGTTGACATTATCTTAGAGTTATTCATACAAACATCATCTTAATACCACTGGCCCCATGGGACCTTCTGGGTGATCTTGTTAAAATGCAGATTCTGATACAGTATGTTTGGGTGGGGCCTAAGACTCTGCATTTCTAACAAACTCCCAGGTGATGCCAATGTTGCTGGTCCTCAGAGTACTCTTAAAGAAAAAGTTTTTATTTTGACATAATTTCAGAGTGAACGGAAAAGTTGCAGGAATAGAATTCTCTGATATCCGTCATCCAGATTCCCCCAGGGTTAACATTTTAAATTCAGCTTTTCTTCTCCTCTCTACCTTTCCTTCCTTCCTTCTGTAATTTTTTCATGAACTGTGTGTTGCACACATAATGCTCCTCTATCCCTAAGTAGTTTAATACGTTTCCTAAAAATAGAACATTCTCTCCTATAACCACAGTGCAATTATTAAAACAAGAAATTGACATTGATAAAATATTTAATCTCAGACCTATTTAAGTTTGTCTAATTGTCCCAATAATATTCTTTATTGCAAAAGTTATAGGAATAGTACATGTCATGTCTCTTTAGTCTCTTTCAGTTTGGAACAGTTCCTGAGTTTATTTTTATATTTCATGACATTGACAGTTTTGAAGAATATGGGCTGGGTGTTTGGTACAAAATCCCCTAATGGGTTTTGTGTGATGCTTCCTCAAGATTAGATTTGGGTAATGTACGTTTGTTAGGAACACCATAGACGTGATGCCAAGTTCTGGTCATTGTGTACTGTCAGGAGGCATCTTCTCTCCATTAGTCCATTACTGGCAGTGTTAACTTTGAGCATTAGTTAAGGTGGCGTCTGCCAGTTTTCTCCACTATAAAGTTAGTATTTTACTCTTTGTAATTAATAAGTATATGGTGGGGAGATACTTTAAGACTATGTGAATGTCCTGCTGTTCCTCAGATCACAGACTACACTTTAAGAAGCCCGATTGGCAGTTGTGCTGTCCAGTATGCCAGCCACTGGCCACAGGGGCTACTGAGCACTTGAAATGTGGCTAGTCTGAGTTGAGATGTGCCGTAAATGTAAAATACCTGCTGGATTTTGAAGGCTTAGTATGAAAACAAGCATAAAATATCTCAGTAATAATTTTTTACATCGATTACATGTTGAAATGACAATATTTTGGATATGTTGTGTTAAACAAAATATGTCGTTAAATTTAATTTCAACCTTTTCCTTTTAACTTTTTAAAGAAATGTGGCTATTAGAACATTTAAAATTACCTGTGTGCTTTATCTTATATTGAACAGTGCTGGTATAGATTCTAGAGCATAGTTGGGCTCCGCTCTGTTATAGCCAAGGCTCCTGTACACATTTTCCAAAATACTTGTATTTTAGTGGTTGAGAACATGGCAGATTGACTGGTTCAGTTTTGACTGATTGACAGATTGGCTCATTCCAGCAGTATTCATCATGTGCAGATCGTATCCCGGGCACTTGAAGAAAAAGTGGTCTTTATGACCAGAAAGGTGCTGTCTTTATTTATGGAGATGACACGCTAAGAATGGGATTAATTGCCGTTAATCCCTGTTCTCTGTGGAATGCAATTTGAAAAGCGCTGAACTGGTTTAAAGTAGAAGGAAGATTTATTAGCAATAAAAGCTTTTGCAAAATAAAAATGTAGAGAAGTGATAGTTTTGAAAGATAGAGAGTGAAAGTGATGTAAACCGAGAGTGCACACCTTCTTCAGCTATTTTAGTAGGGATCATTTTTGCAATGAGTTTTTTCATTTAATCCGTTTCTAAGTCACAATAAAGAAAAGATTATAGCTCTTGTTGATTATAATCATCCTGCTTGAATGAGCATAAGTTTGCTAACTTTCATGAATTTTTTTTGTAGTTGATGCAATGAAGAGAGTTGAAGAGATCAAACAGAAACGCCAAGCTAAATTTATAATGAACAGGTATGAATATGTATATAGAGTAACTCTTGGGAAAATAATTACTGGTAGAAATCTAGAGACTTTTTTTTTTCACTTTTAATTTTCACACTTCAGACTTAACAAAAATTTGCAAGAGTAGTATAAAGAACTCTTGTATATTCTGTTAGCATTTTACTACATTTGTTTTATCCTTATCTCTGTATGGTACGTTGAAGACATGATGCTCTTTTCCTCTTAAGTGTACTTTAGTGTATAGATCTTAAAAATATAAACAAGCTTATATAACCACAGTATAGTTACCAAAATCAGGAAATTAACATTGAGACAATACCATTATATAATCTACAGACCTTATTTAGGTCTCACCAATTGTTCCAATAATGTTCTTTATAGCAACAGAAACTCCTGGATCATACATTGGATTTAGTGATCATAGCTCCTCAAGTCCCTTTGATCTGGACAGTTTCTTATCTTTCTTTGTCTTAAATGACATTGACATTTTTGAAGAGTATAGGTCAGTTATCTTATAGAACTTTCCTCAATTTGAGTTTCTCTGATGTTTTCCTCATGGTTAGATTCAGGCTAGGCACCTTTGGCCAGAATATAGAAATGATGTGTGTCCTTTTTATGCATCATATCAGGAGGCACGTGTTGTCCTTTCCCAGTGATGTTAACTTTGATCACTTGTTGAAGTGGTGTCTGCCAGTTTCTTCCCCCTCTTTAATCAGTACATATCTTGGGGAGAGATACATTGAGACTCTGCAAAGAGCCTGTTAGTCCTCAAGTTGGTACCTACTGGCTTTAGCATCCATTGGAGTCTTGTCTGAATCTTTTATTGTGATCGTTGCCAAATGGCGATTTTTCTAATTCAGTCATTTCTTCTGCATTTATTAGTTGGCTTTCTCATGTAAAAGAGCTTTTCCCTTTTCCCCAATTTCAAGATTTATGCCTTTATTCATTCATATCATATCTGTGTGTATTCATTGATTCTTATGGTATTTAGTGGGTTATAATTCTTTGTCATTATTACTTATTTTGATGTTGTAAGTACCCCAGGTTGGCCACAGGGAGTTCCTCTAGGCGGGCTTCCATGTCATTTTTGCAGTTCCTCATCATTCTTTGAGTGCTTTCTTGCTTTATGGCTGTCAAGATGTTCTGGCCTCACCTTGCACTTTCCCTGCCCTAGTCTGGATTCTGTTATTTCTTTAGAGCAGGGGCATTAGTTTTTGATCTCATCACTGTGGAAGTCTGTCAGAAAAGAACATGTGCTAACAGCTTTCTAGCCTTTAAAAAATGTTGTTACAGAAAAGGGGCCTAAATGTTTGAGAACTCGTCTGTTAGCGTTTTTGTTGAATGTCTTATGTGTTTTGTGCACTTGTAATCACTGAATGATTAAGAAAAGGTAACACACTGGTCTCTCGTTGAGGAGAAAAGATCTAGTCGTTTAACAATTATAGATTGTCTATATATGTGTATAAGATATATGTGTATAATAGATATTGATTTCTGAGATTGATTGAATTCTGAGTTAATTATTTCCTTCATTCTCATTCCTTTCTTCACTCAGCAAATATATATTGAGCACTCCCCCCAATTTTATTCCCACCTAGGCACTAGGGCTACAATGCATGAACAAGTCGGTAGTGTGGGAATCCTATTTAAGCTAATTAGGAACTAGAAAATAATTTTGAGACCCCATTCCTCATCTGTGTGGCTACTTTAGTAAAATTTATTTTTATAAGTTGTGAATAAATGTCTTTTAAAGAAGTTTTACTAAGTGAAATTTTGGCCTTGATGTATTTATCCTAGGTTGAAGAAGAATAAAGAACTACAGAAAGTTCAGGACATCAAAGAAGTCAAGCAAAACATCCATCTCATCCGGGCCCCTCTTGCAGGTAGGTACTGCGTTGCACAGGAGTTCTCTGCTTTTAGGAGACAGATGAAAAATCTTGATTTTTGTGGTCTATATAATTGGATACCAACCAACTTTTTAAGAGTATTTTTTCATATAACTATTATCTCTCAGTCCATTTATGATATGACTTGATTTGTAAAAATATTCAGTGTATTTTCCAGTTCCAGTCACTGTGTCTCATCTGCTATTTCTTTTCCCCCTTCATAAAATCTATCTTCTATAAGATACCTGTGCAAATTAAAATGACTTGAGTAATAATTTCATAGATGATTTTGCCTCATACCTGTTTTTATTAAAGGACGATGTTTTGTATTAGTGGTTCTCAGTCTTTGGTTGGTATGGGAATTACTTGGGGGAACTTAGTGTAAACAGGGGCCCACGCCCTTTGAGTCTGGGCCTCTGTCCTTTCGTAGCTCTCCAGGTGATTCTGATACTTAATTTTGAGAACTGTCGTTTTGTATTAAAACCTTCCCTTTGTGCTTGCATAACTTACTACTAGTCACTCATTTGGGCAGTTGTTTGTGTGCATAGTTTCTTTTGTGAGGTGCTGGAAAACCAGTCTTTTGCCCAGCTGGCACCAAGTACAATCTGCTATATAATTTACTTACACAGATTACTTAAAGGGAGAGAAATTTTGGTGAGACGCAGATTACTTAAAGGGTGAGAAATTTTGGTGAGACTTGATTCCTGAATGATTACATGCCTAAAGCTGAGGTCAAATTCTGTCACCACATGTTGAGTAGATTTGTGTAAGAGTCCTACCTAGGTTATTTTTGTACCAAATTTTGTTAAAACAAAATAGACAAAATCCTGAAGTGTTGTTTTATGTGTACATGATATGGACTGACACCCAAAACAAAAGGGATGAACTGGTACCATCTTAATTTCTTAGGTAACCCTCTGTGAGGTGGGTCGTACAGTGTGAAGAGAGGGACTCTGGATCCAGAGGGCCGGGATTCCATCCCAGCTCTTTGACTTATTGGACTGACCAGCTGAGAGACCCGGGGCAAGGTCCTCTGTCTCTGTGCCTGTTTTCTCATCTTTAAAATACAGGTCGTTATGAGGGTGAGATGAGCAGGTGTGTGTAGAATGATTTATAGGTGGCATATCATAAGACCGGTATAAATTTACTATTAAATCCTGGCTACTGTTGTTTTAAGATAGCCAAGATCCTTTATGAAGTGTTGTTATGAGTTCTGCAAGGTCACATTGAATTGATAAAGTTTTTAATTTTTTTTTAAAGGCAAAGGAAAGCAGCTGGAAGAAAAAATGGTACAGAAGTTACAAGAGGATGTGGACATGGAAGATGTTTCATAAAATCTCACTGTCTGTACCCATTTCTTATATAAGTGCATTTGAAAATCTCCTTTGGAAACTTAGAACTTCTAGTTTATTTTTACTCAAATGAAAGGTGATTAAAAATACATCTCTCCTACTTTGCTATCTATGAAATGTCAGATAGTATGGATGTTAGATTGCATCTCACTTTTAAACCTTCACTGATATACTTATGTAAATTATGAAAATTCTGTTTGTAAATACAGAAATGAATTATGGACATAAAATGGTTGTGCCATTTGGATAATGGCACCAGGCAGCATTTATGTAATAACTAATGACAAAAATTCATGGCTGGTGATGTATAAATATATAAACTTTTTTTGTGGTAAAGTGTTCCATTTATTAATGTTATGAAAGGGATGCAACAAAGACCTGACAACCTGTATTATAATTATCCTCTTTACATTTCTTGTTTTGGTTTATTGGCATCTTAGATGATCATAATGGCCTCATATATTGAAGCCTAATTATGTTGGACTGTTTGACCTGGCTTAACTGTTCTGAGAGGCAGTTTGGAGTGAGAGCTGAAGTTTTGTTCCTCAAATGGCACTATGCTCTGTAATTTCCACTGTGGAGAATACTCAGTTCTATTTTGAGATTCCTGATAAAAGAAGCTTTATTTTTGCAGCTTAACAATGATACAGAAGCAGAGGAATCCCAATGCCTTTTAAGATCTGTTGTATAGTTTTCTTTTAAAAAGCTCCTAATTATTTTTAGAAAATAGAATTTATTGTTAGAGTGTCTGTCCATTATTTGCACATACAATAAAATCATTTCTAAAGTACCTACAGATTTATTATTTAAAGGTACTACAAAAAGGTATGAAGTATTGATTACTTGGAAGAAAATAACAACCCCCCATACTACTGAAATAGGCGATATATTTAATTAAAGAAAAATACTTACTGAATATTTTATGTTCATGTTTTTACATTATTTATGACTTTAAATATGTTAAGAATACTAAGTAACTCAGTTTTTATATTTTTTTAGGACAATTCAGAATAAATTACAGATTCTTAAGGTTATATAATTATGAGGTAATGGCTAAATCTTTATTTCAGTATTAGATAGAAAAAAGTGGACCAATTACTGGACCAAGTGTTAGAAGACCTGCATTCCTGTGTGAGTTTTGCCTTTGTGTTCTTATATGTAAAATATGGCTCATTTGTAAACAACATTATTGATGTAACCATTAGGGGAAATGGTATGTACAGTCAAAGACATTTGTAAAATTAGTTGAAGTTTTCACTTCATACAATATTCATGTTTGTTTAAATATAAACATGTTTAGGATTACATACTATTATGTAACAAGTTACCTACTTGGTTACTTAGGCGGGTAACTTGCTTTTGCCTTGAGACCATCAACTTGGGGAAATTGAGCTGAACTGAAGAGCTGACATTGCATCTCAGGTTTAATATCCAGACAGTTCTCTTAAGTGTCAGAATTTCATAGTGTTTTGAGACCTTGGATCTCATTATAAACTATACACATGCAAATGCCACAGTTTTATCCCCCCACAACTCCCTAAACTTAGGTGGATTACTGAGATGAGTTGTCCCTTTAAAATGCTGCCTGAGACATGTCATGGTATGACACTTTTAGGTTACTGTTGTTTGTGCTTGTTTGATTGAGACCTCTGCTGGGCAGATAGCATAACACAAAAGCATAAAATTTTCCAGACACTCACTGCGTAGAACTTCTATATTCTGTAATTATTTAGGAGTAATATAGGATTGGAAGTCATAGAAAAGAATTTTCTTACACATATCTCTTACAAAACCTTGCAGGAATGCAGGAAAAAAACTCATTAAAAGAAGAAACCTCACTTCTTAGAAATCTGGAGTTTGAGAAGGACTGACCTATTTCATAATATCCCACGAAGTAGACAGCATTATTCTCATTTTATAAGTGGAAACTTTTTAGGTAACTTGCCCCTTGATCACACGGCCAGCAGAGGGAGGCGGCAGGGCTTTGTGTTCCTACCAGTCTGTCCCACAGTTGCCCTGCCTGTTTGTAGAAGGGGTTTATCCGGAACCTCACAGATGCAGTCTTCATGAGTCCAGGTGATTGCTGTGACAGGTCACTGCAGGTTACTTGAGTGACACTCAACTTGCCTATGCCTTGTTTTCTTCATCTGAAAAGTGGAATTAATAATATGACCAACCTTGGGATTTGTTATGAAGATCTAATCAGACAGTACATGTTAAATAGTCTTTTCAAGGCCACCACCACAGTAAGCTGGTGTTAAGATGTTAGCTATTAGGATTGACTGACCACACAAAACTCAGAACAAAGGGCTTTGACTCGGGAGAAAGGTAGAGAATGTTAGGGTTTGGGGGTAGCTGTGGCTAAATTAATGCAGAGTGCTTAGTTGACGAAGGGATACGTATGGTTTAAAATGTGAATTTTAGCCTTTCTGTCAGCTGGAAAGTGGAGCATCTTCTTCCCCAAACCGTCCCTGTTGTGAAGGTTGGGAGGGGAAATACAGTTCTGGTTTGTCAGCTAGTAGTGAAAAAATGACTCGTTGCCCATAATTTTAAGGGCTAATTTATATGATAAGGGAAGTTAGTTATTCCACCTGTCCATTTTAAATGGAGATGTGGAAAAAGATATCAGACTTTAATCACTCGGTGTGCATTCTAATACTGAGTGAAGATTACCTTGTAAAAATTAACATGGCAGCCTGCTGAATTGTGATACAAAGATAAGGGGGAAAACCAGTATTTAAAAAAACCCCTCATTTTCAAAGGATTTGGAAGAATTTTCCAGTCTATATTCCTTTATTGATATGTAGCAGAATTGAAAAGATAACCCACAAATTCTTACCCTGCATGTCTTTCTATGAGCGTATCAATCAGCCTCATGTTGATTTGAATCATTTTTGTGTCTGGATGAATTTCTTTTTAAAGGAGAAATGACCTTTTACTTACTATTCTTCTGTTCTGAATGTGAGAATCCCTACCTTCTGGTGCCGTGGGGCTGAGCCTCTGACTTAGGTCCTCCTGCTTGACCACTCTGCCTAGGTTTGGAATCTTTTTTTGAAGCTGTCATGTAGGGATTGGAGGTGATGTTTCTACCATGTGACCTTCCCAGCATACCAGTTACCTGATCTGATTCTCTGGCTTCCCATTGATTCTGTGGACTCCCCATGATCCTGCCAATAAATTTTTTTTGGCCAAAATTTGTAACCAAAAATATTGACTAGTAGACATCCAGCAATTCCAGGCAACCCATTTCTAAAATCGTAATCTCCAAGAGTGCAGGGACTGTTTCTATCTTCTCCCAGGCACGTATTAGGTACCTGGTGCATGGAAGGTGCTCAATAAATGTGACAAAACGGAAAGTGGGTGTGTAGCCGTGTGCTATGTTTACTTCAGTTTATTTTTTAAATAACCGTAACTTGAAAGATGGAAGGAATAAATTACCAGCAGAGAGAGACATTAAGAAAGGAGGCAGCCTGTCTGACTTCGACATTAATCAAATCTGCACTATTGGGAACACTTGCTGAAGAGCAGGGCTTGCCTTGAGTTGTGTACCTGATTTTGCCGTTTAGGTCTAATTGTCTAACGGTGATAGATCAGCCTGCATTTCTGGGTCTGACTGGGGCACTCACATGTCAATAAATCCCAGGAGGGACCGAGCATGGGCTGTTTTGGCACATTTCTTGAAGTTTTGTCCAGAACTTGCTTTGCTGATAGAAGTAGTACTTTACTTAAGGATTCACCAAGTGTAAAAATAGAAATAAGGACAACTAATTGAGGAGAGTCTGTTAAAGAGTACTGCTTCTCTAAAGGAATGTTAACTTACCCAAAAATACAGGAGACTGGTCCCTTAGTATTTTGAGGAACTCTTGTTTTCAGAACACCAACTTTTAAATGCTTGGTTTGTGTAGTATATTCCAATAAAGCATGTCCACGTTTGATTTGACACCAAGCCATGTACTCTTAAGAGGAACACCAGTGAAAGTATGCCATTCTAGTCAGAGTTAGCCCACTCAGTTTTCTAGTGTACACTTAACGATATTGTCCCGTATTTCCTCTTCTGATATCAGGGAGTGCAGTATAGGCAGTGAGCAAGTTTTAAAGGCAGTCCACCTGACTAAAAGGATTCGCCACTCAAAGGCAAATGATACAACATACTGACAATACTGTGTTGAACTATAGGTACGTACATTACATCGTTCACTGAGTTTGTTTTCAGTGCTCCCAGATTCTTCATGTTGCCAAAACACCAGATCTAGTAGCTTTTTGACTTTGTAGAGATAGAGTTTCCCCATTTCTAGAAGATACACAAGTAGTATTACCAGAAGGTACATTAGAAGGATATACAATGGAAATAAAATTTGTGTAGGGAAAACATCTCAGAGGAGAAAATATCCAGGTCACAACCTCAGTACCTTTGAGCACATGTGCAAACAGGTGGTACCACCTAGTCCCAGAGTTGTGAGAATCCAATGATATTCTAATTATTTCAGCCAGGTGCATTACCTATATTCTCAGATTCACACCCCTGTAAGTTAGTCCTCATTTTGCAGGTGAGGAACATGAGGGTGAGAGAAAGTGAATGCTTGATCCATGTCACCAGAAACTAGCAGAAATTGGATTCAAGCTCTCTCTGACTCAATCACTAGCCAATATCCTAAATCTATCCAGTATCTAGCTTGATGCCTGGCACACAGTTGGTGCTCACTCAAGGGAAAAAAATCTAGCAGTAAAAGAAAGTGACCTGAAGAAAAGGGTAAGTTTTATGGAATAGTTTAATTTTTCTTGTGACTCTAGAATGGATGGATACTTTTTCTTACCACTTCTTCCAAGACTGACAGGTGACCACCTTTCCCAGGTTGAGTGTAATTAAGACAGCAAATTTAATGAAATGAAGGTCTTTGAAATTTACTGTCCTTAGTAGAGTGATGCCAGTAACTATACTATAAATATTGAAAGAAATGTTCATTTAGCCCTGAAGTGCATGCCAATCTTCTTATCCAAAGAAGATTTTGAAATTTTATCAACACCTGCTTTTATTTATGAGCAATTTCAGGATTTATTAATTAGGTTTTCAAATGTTTATTTTGTGTCTGCTATATGTGAAGCATCATTTGCTTCATTTATCAACAAAATAATTCGTTATTTTTGAGAAATTTGAATCATTGGGAAGTATATTTAGTTATATTTCTCTAGTATATCTAGTCATAGCTCATATTTTATTTTTAATATAAAAATTACATAATTTTTCTGTAAATAGCTGTTTAATAACTGTTTAACAGCTATTTATTGCTCTTGTGCCAATTCTTAAATTCTCCAAGACTGTCAGGATTTCTGCTGAGAGTTATGTCTTTGTCCCAGGGGCTGAAAATTCTGGTGCCAACAAGCTTCAGGTTTCATCTCAGGTGAGAGATGGATTTTGAAGATGCCTTGTGTGCTGTTTGATTTGTCTTTCTAACAACTGATGTGGAAAGGAATCTAAAATCATGTTCTCACAATGTATAGCACACATGGTAACATTTCATTCCAAATGTTAGTTAAGTGGAACCTCAGAAATAATGAGGACCCTACTAAGTAACTCCATTCCCTTGACTTGATGGGAAGTCCTTACTAGAGATTAGACATCTAGGAGGATTTGGGTCAAAACAGTCGAGGATGAGCCACATGAGCATCCAGAGAGAGAGCCTCAAACCTGATGGCACATAAGAACCATCTGGGGGCAGCTTTACGATTACCAGTGCCAAGGCCCTGCCCCAGACCAATTAAATGAGAATCTGGGATTGAGTGCCAGTCACTGGTATTTTTTTTAAAGCTGTCAGGTGAAAGTCGACCAAGATAGTGACATAGGAGGCTCTTGAACTCCCCTCCTCCCATCGACATGCTGAGTGTACAGCTGCACACAAAGCAATTACCTCTGAAAGA